ACTATAGGGTAAGAGTTTTAAGTTTCTAGCCACATTACTTTTGAAATTATGACTAAATAAATAAAATCTGAAAAGTGAAAGTATTATTTACAGTGCATTTTTACCAATTCAGGACAATTTTTTCCTCACCTCTGAAAAAACTATTAAGATTTAAAAACCGGTTGCATACTAGTTGCGTCCCAAAGATATCAACGAAAAAAGGTCTAATCCGAATTACGACCCGAATTTATTTTGAGTACAGACAAGTTGCAGCCCGAGTTTTCTAACTCTAGATTATTGAATTAATAATATTATGTGGTGGGGGTAAGTTGAAAGTATACAGTAGAATGACGTTGATATTAGCTGGCTGCAACACGATTGCACAATTTTTCCTTTTTTTACCCGACTAATTACACCAAGATTGCGCCCCGATCCCTTTTTACCTGATAAAATCATAAGACCATTGCGCACCAAATAATAATATGTGTATATACAATGTAATATTTATATATATAATGCATACAATACATACTTTCTACATATAATTTTCATATACATGCATTCAAACTTACTACCTATTAATTCACAATTTTCCTTCCCAATTATTACAGGCTTAGGACTGTCAACAAATTATCATCATTGGCTTGGTTAAAAATTGTTTTTTTCTAAATTACATGTATGCTAAATGTATGTACTGACTAAATAAATAGTCGACATTTTTTTTATTAAAAATTGTTTTTTTTTTCTATACTGATAGTCAGAGGTGCCATTTTGAGGGAGCAGGATATGCACTTGCATACCCTGAATTTTTTTCATATTATATTATTGGCTATTGGCCTAGGCGTCACTGATACATGGCCTTGCGATCTTGGCCTTCAGTTTTTCAATGTTTAACATTGTGCATGCACCATGGCTAATCAGTAATCACTGCTAATCATAAATGTTGGCCTGGTGGTGGGAAAAAAATTGGTTTCTTTAATTGCTTGCATACCCTTAAAAAAAACTGAAATGGCGCCACTGCTGATTGTCATTAGTCGATATTATTATTATAACTATTATCAGCTCAATCAACTTTTCATTTTGATTTTTAAAAAGTGCATTTTGTGAATTAATAGTTTGAGTGCATGTATATGTAAATTATAGAAAGTATGTATTGTATGTATACATTATTTTATGTCGTACATAAATTATTGTACATAGTATATACACATATAATTTGGTACGCAATGATGTTGTGATTTTATCAGGTAAAAAGGGATAGGAGAGCAATCGTGTTACAAATTTTTTGCGCAATCGTGGTGTAATTAGTCGGGTCAAAAAAGAAAAAATTGTGCAATCGTGTTGCACTGAAATAAGCCTCAGTGGTATTAATCATTCTGTGCAATCTAAACTACAAAACTGCACATAGATAATAGGAATCGATAATAAGTCCTTATGTTCAATAAGTCTTTACTTATCCCACTATTATTATAGATAAAGTAAACTTTATCACTTATCAGTTATTTATAATTTGAAATACCTATACAGATCCTAATACCTTGAAAAAATGTATATTGTGTGTTGCGTTCACTAAGTATCTGCTTCATCACTTACGAGACCCACGAGCCGCTACTACAATAGCATCCACCGTCATGGTGTATGGCTGCAGGCATTTTAAATAAGAATCCTCGTGGTGATATTCCCCCAAGAAAAATTATGGTTAATTCTAACCCACTAAACATTTAATGTTTTCAACATCCCAGCGATGTCGGTTTTATGTTACATTTGTAACATCATGTATCCAATATCTCAGCGATATCGATTTTAAGTTATAATTGAAACATCAAATGTGATGTTGAAAAATCGTCATATTGATGTTATATTGTGACTATTCCTACCGTGTCAATTTGAAACGTCTCTGCAATTTGTGTTACAAAATAATTAAAAATAATGATATTTATTTATAACACCCATGAGTTAGTTGCAACTATACCATAGCCACCAGGCGTCGGCATGCCGACTGCAGTGTCTATAATAGTGAAAAAGGAGATTAGATTCTACGAATTTGCTATCCAAATATCATTAGATGAGGTTATTAATAACCTGGTCTCACATTTGTTTGAGTTATTGTTTTATCGAATTGCGATTTGTCGTCATAACCATTCTGTTTATTTGTTCGAAGTGTGTTAAGTTTTTTTCGTTTAAATTCTTTATTTACAATTATATATTTATATTATTTTATACATAAAATGTCTTTTAAAGCTGAAAATCAGTATCTGAAGGTAAGTGACTACTGATTTTGTAAATAACAATCTTTATTACAGAAATAATATAAAATATTATCTAAATAATACTATTATTTAAAAACTCCTATGCCATCACTTGGAGAACCAGTCCCTAGTTCTTCAAAATCTAACACTTTTGTATCTAATGAGAACTTAAATAAAGTAGTATATTTGTTATTTAAATTAATCTTAAGTTAACAAATATTTAAGGTATATTAATTTAATCTTACAATCAATATATAATAAATAAATAAATAAATTACTATACTTATTATAAAATATATATTGTTAGTATTTATTCAGTTTCTGTAATCTTAGTAGGTGTCGGTATGTGTATTCTGTAGTAAGTAGTATGATAAAAACATCAATTTTAACTCTCATTTATATAATGTTAGGTAGGTAGGTAGGTTAAGGCTTCAGTATCCCAACATTCCAGTGTGTACATGGACTAGGTTCGAAACCAACCATCCTTTCGCTATCACATCATGCTGGCATTATTTTATTTTGCATTTTTTTCGTTAATTTATGATTCAGGGAACATCCATGCAACACTACTGAAATGTTACGATTCTGTTAGATTTGTGTTATTTATGAATTGTTGCAGGGACGTCACAATTTGATGTTAATGTAACGTCTCATATAAGACATCATTGCGGTAGAAATACGGTCCCGGTAATGTTATTCATACATATAGGAAACACAATTTGTGATGTTCCGTGTTTCAGCAAAACATCCCAGAAACATAGTAGGGACATATTTTGCACAGTGGGAACAGTTCCCTATAATCTTCCCTAGCCTATTGTTTAAATAACTTATAGAAAACTATTATTTCTATGCTAACGTTATCCAATCATTTTTCAATATACTCATTTTTAATACCAGGCTCGATATTTGTTGTATCTATTTACATTTGAATAGTCAGAGACACTTATTTTCGGTAAATAAGTAAATACTTACACTAGGAATGGGCAAAATTGTTTGAATAATGATATTCGATCAATCGATACATCGATTTTTAAAATATCGATGTGTTCGATGTATCGGTGAAGAACCATAGATGATTAAGAACTTTGAAATTTAAAAACATCAAAAAATTTTTTTTTCCTCTAGAACTGCCATCTGTTGCACACCTTATTATCTATACTGTATACTATTTTCCTGATTAAATAATAAACTCAAGAGTTAAAATATTATTGTTTTACTTATAATTTTTAAATACATATTAAATACTTATAATCAGGCCTCCTAAGTTCATATATTTGCATATTTTCTTTGCTACATCAGAAAATCTGCTAATTGAGTTAATAATCTGTTTCATAACAATGGCAATAAAAATCTAAAGTTTAATAGAGCATGTTTTTACATGTTTTGTGTGTATTGGCATATTTAATTTTTTTTAAGTTATTAACTCTTATTATTATATGTAAATTCAGCAAAATGGTTTTGAAAAAAAGTCAAAAAAGTCAAAAAAAAAATTAGATCAATAAATTTTTGAATTCATTCTTAATTACTATTTCGAACTTGTTTACAAAATCTTAGTATTTTATCAATATTTTTAATTTTTAATGACATTAAATTTTATAAGTTAAAAGCAGTACCACGAAAACAATGTTATTGTGCACCACTACCACTATCCTTCTATTAACAATAGGGGCGTATTTAGAATTAATTCTAGGGGGGGGGGCATATCAAATTTTTTCTTTAAATCAGGCTCAAAATGTACAAGTAAAATTGTTGGTAATATTTAAATCTGTTAAATCCTAAATATTTGTGGTTCTTTTTTAATCTAATGCTGGATTTACTTGGAATCGACTTTTGTGTAGTTATTTTTTAACACCTGTCTGTGTTTTGAAAGTTATGCTTGTGTTTTGATTGATTTTTCACTAACTATGGACCCGACAAAAAGCCCATTTCAGTATTCACAGCCACGCGTAATTTAACTTCATTCTAAAATGATCCACATTAAAAAAAATTTAAAATGTGTAACTCACATACAATCGATTCCTTGAATACAGATTCAGGGAGGGGCGATCAACCCTTCACCCCTAAAATACGCCACTGATTGACGTGTCCATTGTAATCTATAATAGATAGATTATCTTCATCTCAACGTGTGTCATTTAATAAAATGTAACCGAAAAAAAATATGTTATAAAAATATAAATGGATAATTCTTATTATTAAAAAAATGCCTGTACATTTTTTTCTTGCATAGTAAATGATTTTTAATGCATATTTGATCAAATATTAGTGTATAATTGAATGTTCCTTTATGCGTTTTTTAGTACATAAACTTTCGAGTTCTGATTAAAACTGTATAGTGAACACTGTATAACGATTGCTGTATACTGTATATAAAAATAATACAAATAAAAAAATTCGAACATTTTAAACAAAAACATTGATGTTTAATTGATTAATCGAAAAAAAATTATCGATGTTAAAACATCGATATATCGACCTAAAACATAGATGTTTAAAAAAACATTCATGTTTTTTCCCTTCCCTATCATAAACTATAACTAACTTAACTATAGGCTGTATGAATGATTAGATATTCGTCTGGCGTCTCATTATCATATAATCTAATGCAGCGTCCGAAACATTCCTTATACACTTTATTTGCAGACTAAGAAAACCCATAAACTATTACAATGGATCAAAATATAAACAATTTGGAACCAATTACAAGTTTATGGAACCATTTTTTAAATCATATCATATTTTTATACGTTTTCGGAATTCCAACAGCATATGGCGGGTTTAATATATATGTTATATTTATAAATTTATCAATCAACAGCTTTCGTTATAAATTAGATAATTGTTGGTAGTTGTCCAGAGGTACAGCATTAATTATCTAATAATCTAATGGACGATTTTCGGGAATTCTCCAGAGATACATTTGTATTGATCTATTTTAGACGTATTTTCTTGACTAGCACCGATTATAATATTTAACTCTGGAAATGTTTTTGATTTAGCACACGCCAGTTGACATTCACATTTTCCCTCGTAGTCATCGTAGTCAACGCTTGCTATATATATTCCCAACAGATCGAAATTAAATCGTAACCTAGCCTGAAAACATAAAAATCAAGACAATTTATGTGATCAATCAGTTCTAAAAATACTTATAGTTGATTTATTTCGACACTGATGACAATGAATGCTATGAATAAAAAAAATTACAATATTAAATGAACAGTTTGTCGTCCGAATTTTATAAATATGTATTTATATACAGCATTAAGTTGAATTTTATTTTTTAATTAATCGTGTTACATATACCTCGTATTATTCTGTTTATAAAGAGTTTTATAAATATGAATTATTCATAAATTATCTGCTGTAACCTATCCTTCCATGTAAAATTTGCTCTGTTAGCTATAATTTAATTAGATAAATTACGAAAAAGTCAATATTGCCCCCACCCACATGGGACTCGCACGTAGATGAAATCGTCAAGATAGTGGTTAGCTATACGACATCTGAATATCACTTTAGATTGACGCGGACCTGTGCGGCAGCCGTTATCGAAACGTCTGTCACCAACCGTGCTTTTATCTCTCTCGTCAACCACGAGACCGAGGCGCGCACGTCGCCGCGACACCCCGTTCCATCATCAATCAACGGTCAAGGGACGCGAACGGTCGCGACGACATCCGCCCGGCAACACTATCGAACCGGTCCGTTCCGGCCCGTTCTTCCAACACTGTGTGCGCGAACACAACGTATTGTTTTTTTCTCCGCTCACTAAAATTAATCTAAAACTGTGTCATCATTATTTTTTGTTTTTTGCATAAACTCAAATAGTCTTTTATTATCATTGTTTTCATTGTATTTAAAAGTTTTAATTGAATTGTGACACATTATTCATTTATTATAATAATAATAAATATACTGCGAACACCGTACTCCAGTCAGCCCCGCTGATTTTTTTTTTTTATTATTATAATTAATATTTTTATTGTTATATTGTTGTGCGTCGTGCCGAGATATCCCGGCCCTCGACAAGATCACATTCCATGTGACAAATAATATAATATACAAAATAACATCATAATCTGTGTAATTTACCATAGGCGACATTTGTGGCTCTTATTGTGAGAGGAAGGGGACAGCATTTAATCACAATTTACTAACTAGTTTGGAAATCTACTCACATTATTATCAACGTAATATGTTATGTTATATTTTAAATGTTGATTACATTGATTAAAGCATTGATGAAATATACTATATTGTATATTTAATCTATGTACATGTATGTATTTTGTATAGTGTAAAACAATAAGAATCCATGGTTTTATGAACGATGTAAAGTAGAATTACAAATACGAGATGAAAGAAGAAAAATTATAATACATAACATAACACCAAAAAATCAAGAAGAATATATATTACAGATAAACAGAATAAACAAGATAGCAAGAAAAGAAAAAAGAGCAACCGAAAAAGAATTGATTAAAAGTATAGATGAATATAGACTCAACTCGAGATCCTTATTCAGAAAGTGTAAATCGATCAAAAATGGTTTCAAAGCACAAATGACAATGATAAAAGACGATAAGGGCCACTTGATAACTGACGAAAAAAGTATTTTGAATAGATAAAAACACACATTTTCATACCCTTCTGAGCGTATCAAATAAAGAATCTAATGAGGAAAATAAAAACTACCGAATCTACTATACTGTACCACCAGAAATACTGGCACCTAATCCCAAAGAAATAAAATCAAACATCGTTAAAATATAGAATAACAAGACTCCGGGGGTAGATAATATAAATGCATAATTAATCAAAATATCGACGCCAAAAATAATATCGAAAACACACGGATAAATCAAAGATAGTTGGGAGAATGAAACGATAGGTATCCCTCAAGAATGTAAAACCTCGATTATATTTCCGGTCTATTAAAAACGCGACACAATGGACACTAAAAATTATAGGAGAATAACGCTCCTTAATACGTGATATAAACATTTTTCCATCTATGTTCTACATAAGTTAGAGAAATATACAAAAGAAATATTGGAAAACTATCAGACAGGTTTCATAAGAGTTAAATCGAAAACGGACCACATTTTTACAATCAGACTGGTATTGGAAAAATATTACGAATTCGGAAAATAAATACACATATGTTTCGTGGATTTAAAGTAGGCATATGATAGTATAATAAGAGAAAAGTTATGGAAGTGCCTAGAGGAATTTAGAATTCCAGCAAAATTAATACAACTGGCGAAAGAATGTATTTTTAAAAGTTTGTGCAAGGTTAAATGTGGGGAAAAATATTAGATAGTTTTAAAACAGATACAGGGCTAAGACAAGGTGATGCATGATCACCAACTTAATTTAATATTGCCCTAGAAAAAATAATAAGATCTTTGCCAGTTAATCAAGGAATGAACGCCAAGAAATTATTACAAAAACGGCTGACCTTATCGCGGCGGCTAAGAAAATGGGACTCGATATTAACTAAGATGAGACCAAGTACAGGCTCGTATTTGAAAATTTGGCGCCCCCGGGTACATAATTTATGCCCCTCCCAGAAGCGGACTGGCCACGGGAGTTATGGAGAATTATCTCCTTGGGCCGCTCATAGATACTAATAATAAAAAAATATAATCCAAATAATATTAAAATATTAGGAAAATTACATTAACATAAATAATATGAAAATACGTAATTAATTCACTTCCAACTTTAATATTGTTCGAAAATATAAAAATAAATAAAAAAATGTGGTTTATGTAGCTCTTTTGGTCAACAGTATAGAATGTGATTATAAAGTTTTATTATTATTAATAATAATAGAACTACATGTTACTTAGTTTTATGGCAGCGTTTTAGTCCGCTTCTGGCCCCTCCCCATCAAAAATAAATAATAATCATATAAAACTTCTTATTTTGCCCATAGTCGGGATTCTTTAATATTAAAATATAACTTATAAATGAAAATCGTTTAATACTTTATTTTAAATAAGAAATTATAATATAATAAAAATAATTTTGTTTTATTAATTTACAAATTGGAACATAATAAAACATACTATTTTCTTATTTTATTGTTTTATTTTTTTTTTTTTCATAAGGTACATCATTTTTATAATAAATTTTGCTAAAATATTTTGCCGTCCCTGAGACTCAACACCCCGGGAATATGCCTACCAGTGCCCTCCTAAATACGGGCCTGAACAAGTATATGGTCATAGTCAGAAGGACTGGAAACACACAGGACCTAGTATTTGAAAATTATACTTTTCAGGCTGTTACCGACTTTAAATATTTAGGAACTAATATAAATAGTTCAACTAATATACATAACGAGATAAAACTAAGAATTTCTGAAACTAACAAAGGTTACCTGGCAGTAGAAAAATCATTCAAATCAATGTTATAATCTACTAAATCCAAATCTACACTTTATTCGAGCTATCTACGACCGTTTCTGACCTATAGATGCAAAAGACTTGGTCGGTTACAAAGGGAGATGAAAAGAAACATTTAACTTTCGAAAGAAAAAATACTATATCGTATTTATGGTCCTAACAAAGAAAATGTTGAATACAGAATTAGAACCTATAATTAAATCTACCAAATATATTTAAAGCCCAATATAGTAATTTTTAAGAAGTACACGGTTAGAATGGGTGGAGTATTCCTGGAGATCCTCTGACAAAACACGTAATGATTGGCACTATCAATACGAAAAGACCTAGGGGACGACTAAGGCAAATGTGGATAGCCAAAGTCAAATCAGATTTTGAAGAACATGAACCAGGATTAAAATCAGAAGAGTGTGGAGACAGAGGCAGATGGCATGAAGTAGTAGAAGCAGAGAAGGCCCTAAATGGGCTAGTTTACATAAATATATGGTGTTAATGATAAGATTGATCAGACTAATCATAAGGGTTATAATTTTTTTATATAATTGTACAAATGTAATTTTAACATATATATTTTATAAAAATAAAAAATTGCTTAAATAATATTAAACTTAAGAAGGGGATAAAATGATAAGCACGCATTCTTTATATTTTTTCTAAAGTGACAACTGGTCTCTCATGCCCCCTGAAATGCTATCTGAGTACTTTACAACCATATAATTAATACGATTAGGAAATCACTTCAAAACTGTTTGGTTAATAGATAATAAAAACAAATGGTATATTAAACAAATAAACAATTAAACAAATGGCCGTCCGGATATTGGCTTCCTAAACACATAAGAAAAATATGCTTATTTGTATAAGTTTATATAATTGTTAATTCATAATTTTATTGAATAAATCGTGTGTCTTGTTATATTAAATCATGTGTTACATATTTTATGTAAGTAATTTGTATTATAATTTATTTTTAGAAATGTTTTGTCGTTAGAGTGTTGAAAAAATTGTTTGTATTTTTAAATATTTATTTTTTTCGTTCTAGACTCATTTAATTTTAATTAAAATTATATACTATAGATTTTTAATGACGAGGGCTTGTTGTAAAATCTAGTTAAAATTAATGGAAATTCCATTTTTATTTGCAGATTGATTTACCAAGAAGTCGATAATTAATAAACAATTTTTATACCAGAAGTGTTTTGAATATAATATTATTATAAAATTTGAAGAAACCAAGGGGTTTATGAGACTTCGAACGAAAATAATTTAATAAACATTAAGTAATAATTTATAAAAGCAGTCACGACAAGTCAACCATCGAGTAAAGTCCATTATTAACTTGCTACTTCGTTATTTACGTTTTATTATTAAATTTTTAAATAGATGATACCAATAACATCAAGCCAATTGGTCACAAAAAAATCAAATTCACCTTCAACACTAAATCAGCTGCATATAACGTTATTACCTCTCCTTTACTTCAAAATATTGTTTTACAGCATTCATTCCATCTAGTCCGTGCTATTTATTTTAAACACATCTCAACTAAAAAAAAAAAAAAAAATGTTTTACCACCTACCAACGTAGTAGATATAAAATTCTTCTCTTAAAATAACAGACGTCATATCGATCTGCAACATTATACACAAAATCTCTCTCAGCGTTCCCTCACCCGTTTGTGTAATAATTGCTTACGCTTCGGCCACACAGCAAAATTCTGCCGCTGTAAAATTAAATGCAGCCACGGTGGCGTAAACGATCATTCAATAAAACCTGCTCTTTTGTCAACTCCACCGACCCAGTGTGCATTTTCTGTAAACTTCCCCCTCTCTCTACTGATCGGAATTGTCAGAAGTGGGCATCTCAGAGGGACGTCAATAAAATCATGACCTCAGAAAATCTACCTTTCTGAGAAGCAGTCTCTCTCAAGAAAAATAATTTTTTTTTCAAGCTCCTTTTAGTTATTCGAATATTGTTAACAAACTTCCTGCGTTAAACTCCGACAACCATCACTAGCTCTTTTTTTTTATTATCCTCTCATTCACAAAACCATCAAAACACACATAGAAAATTTAGAAATCATATTCCTTTTCATAAAATAATTACTTTTCAAGTCCTAAGTCAATATAATTTCTCCCTTTCAAATGGTAATTTCATAGATTATTCTATCAAAAATCCATCACAAGAATCCGAAAGTCCTCCCATCGATCTCACGTGGGTAAACTCATTTTGCAATAAACTCTCTGAGTCGTTATCCAACTCTCCTAGCCTCTCCCCTCTACTTTCCTCATTCATCCAAAATCTAATTGAAACGTCCATCTTGTCTTGTCTCTCCATTTCAATTTTGCAGTAATCTCCCTTGATCAATAAAAAACTTTCTCTCTTCTTTTTTTTTCTTTTTAACTAATGGTCAATATTCTACAATGGAAAGTTAGTAATCTCCCTGCAGGACTTTCTTCAATCAATCAGCTTATATCCTCTCACAACTGTTCCAAAATACTCATCTCCGAACTATGGCTACTTCCTTCCCGTAATTGCATTATTCCCCACTTCAATTTATTCAGACAAGACAGAGCCGATGGCTATGGCGGTGTCGCAATAGCAGTTTATACTTCACTTAATATAACTTTAATTGAGATTAATCCTCCTCTAAAACAACTCCTTTTGAAGACCCAATTCAAACAATTCTTGCATTGATTTATCATTATCAACTCGAAACCTACACTGGCTTTCATCCTGGCGTATCTTAGATGATCCTAACGGTAGCAATCATATACCAATCATCATATCAGTAAATTCTATAAATCCTAATATCCCAACAAATAACAGACTCTCTTCACAAAGTGATTATTCTTCTAACTTCAAATTTAATATCAACATAACTAATTGGTCTCTTTTTTCCCTACTTATTAACTACTCTATACCTTCTTTTAACTCTTACGCATGTCTAATCGATGATTATATACAGTTTACTCAAATTATTTTAAATATCTCTAAAAAAGCAATTCCTATCAAACACAATTATCACAACAATTTCCTTCTGTCTCCTCCATGGTGAAACTCTTCTTGCATCAAAGCCGTGTCCAACCGCAAATTTGTATATAAATCTTTCCTCCGATCAGGCTCCATTCAAGTTTATCTTATCTACCACAACGCCATTGCTGCACCATGGGTCTTCTTAAAGAGTCTAAAATACTAACATAGAAACAAGTTAGAATGAAACTTAATTCTTCTTCATCCATACATTCTATCTGGAGAACTGCAAAGCGCTTTCGTAATTGTATCCAAACTCACATTCGCCCACACAATGTGACATTTGGTTTGATAATTTCTGGTCTAAAGTAACACTTTTTATTGCACCCGTTGTTATTTTCCCTTGAAATCCGAAACGTTCTATCAAACTAGTCCATCCGTTTCAAACTAGCTACCCGTCCATGTTATAGCCATGCCTATTACCCTAGGTGAGCTCAACACTGCGATCGCTTCACGGAAACCAACAGCTTCCAGCTTAGACAATATTTTTCCCGTGATGCTCAAACACCTTCTTACCAATGAAATCAACTATCTCTTGAATATTATAAATAAAATACTTCTACTTAATATTATATCCGACTCGTGGAAAGAATTCAAAGTCATCCCAATTCATAAAGCCAACTCTACCAATTAATTTAGGCCCATTGTTTTATCTTCAGTGCTATGTAAAATGATGGAATACATCTTAAAAAACAGGTTAGATTGGTGGCTCAAGCATAACTCCAATTTTTCCGATAACCTATTTGCCTTCAGAACAGGAAGAGGCATACTTGAATGTAACAATAAACATTTCTTGTCAGCCGTTTTTATTGACATTCGCGGTGCCGTTAATTCAATCCATATACCAACTTTCTAAACTCTTCTCTATTCACTTAAACTACCCTCTGTATTTATTAATTTCCCTCCTATTCTCTCACAGAACTCTAACATTCACATCCTCATACGGCACCAATAACTCACTCTCTACTTTTAACAGTCTGCCCCAGTGTAGCTGCTTAAGTCCTATTTTATTTAATATATATATATATATAAATATCGATTTCATAATTAAACAGCTAAAGTCAAGCGGCCATGAATGCTTAGTATATTCTTAAGACCTTGTTATGTTCTCCTATAATTCAAACCTCGATCTTGCCATAGCATCTTTAAACAAATCGCTCGAATTATTACAGAAACTTCTATCCTCCTCTTTTTTCTCTGTACCGCCCGAAAAATTGAAAGTCATGGTTTTCACCAAGAGGCGACATCTTCTCATTCCAGATATCACCATAAGTTATATTTTAATTTCAATTGTCCAAAGTATAAAATATCTAGGACTAACATTACATTCTAAACTTATACCCCTCATATTCAACATCTCATTGAATTTACATCTTCTTTCCTTAAATCAGTTTTCAATATGTGGTGAGGGTCACATTCATCTACGCTATTAATCGTATACAAAGCAGTAATAAGATCCAAACTTGAATACGGATGATTTTTATAAAGTTCGGCGTCCTATTAAACACGAGAAAAAAATTAACATTCTCCAGAACTCTTGCTTAAAAACTATCATTGGTTCCCTTAAATCTATTCCTAACTCTGCTGTAGAAGTTGAGACCGTATGCCCCCCTCTCAATATTAGAAACAAATGGTTGGCTGGCAAATTTGTCCTAAAAATATCTCCCTTCCTATCCTGTGATATAAAATTTAGACATTTATTTTTCATGACGCTATGTTAAAAAATTACTCTCAATTCTTGCTTAGAGTAAATAATAAAAAAATTAAAACGCATCGTATTTTATAAATCGTGAGTGAATACAATTATAGGTAGATATAATACGTATTTTATTTTGAAAATGGAACATCTTTAGATTAATATTGAGGCAATCAGGGGATTAAAAGAATATAATGTAAAATTTATCATATATAGTCTAATGTCAAATTAGAGACAACAATTAATTTACCCGACAAGTACAAATGTATATCTTGTTTACCTATGGGTACCTGTGAGTGATAATGTTTTCAGTAATTATTTGGACCCTATTAACATCTTTCAATTGTCAATTAAACACATATTTCCTTACAAGTTCATCAGCTTGATCCAAATTTTTCATATCTTCTTGTTTATCATTATAAAAACAAAACTCTTTTGAAATTGAATTAATTATGTAGAAGTCAACATGAGTGTTTAAATTTGAGAAATTAAAAGCTAAAAATAAATAAAATAAACCTTTAAATTATTTGTAATTTTATAAAAATATGTAGTGTTTTGTACTGAAATTTTACGCATTGCCATTAACAGAACATGATACATTTGTAATTTAAGCGTAAAATCTCGCCTGCTGCAAAACAGAACCATTTTTTAATAATTATGATGAATCAACCATCTTTTTTTTTTATGAGATTTATTTTATCTGTGAAGTTGCGGTTTTTTCTTCTTGTAGTATAAATAGATTATAAAATATACAATTATCAAGATTGTAAATTTTTAAATTTTTTCACAGTTTTCTTATAATATATTTATAAATATAATCGGTCCACTCTAATTCATTCATTATTGACACTTATATTACAATATATTACAATGTAAGATACTTACTACTGTAAAAATTTTTATCATCAAAATATAAAACGATTCCGAATTTCATATTAGGATTTAATTCTTTCAATTTATCGAGCCATGGAACCAAAGCGTTTGTAAAATCTGCTTCTAGTATCGTAAATGGATGTTTCTTCTCCTAAAAATTGGTAAATAAATACATTTTTTAATATTAAATTCATAAAAAAAAAAAGCAATCTACATTAACTTGAATTTAAATAATTTAGTTTTGGTTGGTGATTATTTTTCCAAGAAAATGTGAAATCTTTCTCGTTGAAAATTAAGAATCAAATAGAATTTTGAAATAATAATTCATGATAAATATTATTTTCTTAAGATGATATACGTTTTAACATTTTAAAATATATAGAATAACTGACCGATAATATTACTTGAGGCAGAAAATAGCAATTTAAATATTAATTTATTGCATGGTGCAGTTATATTTTTTATACAATTTCGTCTGAATTAAATGATAGTTAAGCGAACACTATATTTACGATAAAAAAAACCATTTATTTATTGGACGAAAAAAAAATGTAATTGGATTATAATTACAATTAGTGCTGAATATATATATTATTACTGTATTTTTCAATATTCAGGTAACTTATTTACTATATTTTACATCCATTCTTCGTTATTAAAATATATAAAAGTAGCATCATATACATACATGATACATGTTTTCGAAAGCAATCGCATCAACTTTATAGGCTTGAATTTGTGAAGAGAAAACAAAAGGATCTTCTTTGAACTTCCCTACCCAATCATCATGATGTAAAGAATCAAATATTAGCACTATCGGTAGGTTTCCTTTAATTTTTTTGATGTCCTCTATACCCAATGTATTGTTGTCTAATATTAATCAATTTTATTAGTATTATTTTCAACTGTGTATTATAAATATATACTTATTCATTGTAAACATAGTACGTAAGTTCACGCATTTGCATGTTTTTTTTTTTGTTAAATCGAAAAACATGCTAAGCGAGTTCCAAATCCGTTTCATAACAATGATAATAAAAATGTAAAATTTAATAAAGCATGTCATATAATCTAATTATATTATATAAAAATTGATACTGATGCTAATCATAAATAGCGTCTATCAACAGAAATTAGTATACATTGTACACTAAAAATATCTTATGAATCGAAAATATTTGCTACAATTGAATCAATAATTAACCGAAATATTCTAAATGTAATATTATGTTTGATAAACTATAAATTAAAAAATATTGCATTTCATTACATAATATTGAATTAAATATTTTTAAAATACTTATTGCATTTCAGTTATAAAATCCATACCAAATTAAACTATTAACAATACTTTTTGCTAATAAATAATAAATGTTCTAACAGTGTAATCTATTAAGTAAGAACCTGGTGGTGTGCTTGAGGGTACTACTACAGATGTGCATCCTTGCGGTATTTGTTGTATTAATTGTGTTCCATTCTTCAAACCACAAAGATATTTCAGGTTATCGGGGGTAATTGTTGCACCTAATTAAAGAATAAATATTGAAAAAATTAATGTTTTACAAATTAAGATCTAAACCATGTAGAATATAATTTAATGTATCCTTTGTGACGGAAATTAAACTTTCAACCTTTACTTATACAAAAACCATTTCAAGAAAATTACGATATATATATATATATATATATACGAGTTATTATAAAATATATTATATATACTATATAATATATTGTATATTTATTTAATATTAAATAATAATACAAAATGATAATTTATTTTAAAATGTTGTATACATGTTCATACATACTGTTCATACATAAATGTAATGTTACCAAAAAAAAATAATAAAATATATTAACTGGAGTGTTCATTATTTTGAAAATTAAAATTAATACAATTTTTAAAATTATTCAAAATAGTTGCTATATTAAACTATATAAAGCTATATAATAAAGCCGAGGCATTTATTGTTTTTTTTATTTGTTTTTCTATGATTTATTTATCTATTTTATATAAATTCCATACTAAAAAACTTGGTAGTATAACAATTATTATATAGGTATTGGTTTAAATATTTTTTTTCGTTTATTCAACAGATTTGAAACAACTGTTATTAAATTTATAGGTTAATTACCATGCATTTATAATATTTTTTCAAGTGGATCATGAAAAGGTGTGCATCATCTGTATAATAATGCAAAGTAAATTAAAACAATTGAAAATTAATTAAAAAAATTAATATTTGTCCAAATTTTTTTCGCAGGTTATTTCATAGTCTTCATTTCATGATTAACTTGATTCACACATGACCTAACGATAAGATTTTGAAAAATTAAGTAAAGTGAGGTGTAATAATTAAACGATTATTATTGTTGTTTATGCTTGGTGCAATCTACATTACATGGTATATAACATAATAAAAATAAAAACATGAAGAATAACAAAAATATAATACCTATAACCGTCTTCAATAAACTTAATGTAACAATTAAAAATATGGATTCTTAGACTTCAGTACAAGTTTCATACAGGTATAAATGAAAAAAAAAAAGAAACAAAATGATTAAAAATATTATAATATATGTTCCAACTTAAATTTTATATGGTTTTAAATGTGAATTAGATATAAGTAAAAATATAAATAAAAAAGAAACTTTAGGATTAACAAGAATAAATATATCGATATAACTTTGCAGTATTGTTCTTGTTGAACAAATTAAATACTGCCTCATTATCACTGATTATGTGGTTATACGTACTAGAATTTACCATGTTAAGCATAATTTTGGTAACGTCTTTTTTATGGCTTTCAGATTTGTTAGTAAATTCTTTAGCAAACACTATTCCATTCAAAGTTTTTGTGTTTAAACAATTCCTATATTTGGTTTTCATGAGATCTATTTTCGAAAAAAATATGTTCACACGACACATGTGATTGGGGCAAAGATAAATCAGAAAGTAAAAGAATTTGACTCATCTTTGAATGGATATTCATTATCTTTTCAAATGCCTTAAGTTTAATCCAAAAGTCTACAGTATTTAAATTTAATAGAAATGTATGAAATTCGGAATTAAAATTGATTACACTGAAAATTTTCCAGCTGGTATCAATATTTTGGCTATTTTGTTTAATTCTTGGAAATAAATGAATAAAACTAATTAAAGATGTAGTCTTTTTCATTAAAAACTTTTTTAGGAGTAATATATTCCAAGTGAACTAATACTGGGTGATTGAAATCAAATCTCAATCTTATTTCCCAAAAACTAACAATAAGGAACCTTCTATAGTGTTCTAAAACATCTTGTACCATAACTTGATTTCTCGCAACTTATGTTGTTTGTAACATATTCATCACATAAATTCCTAAATACATTTGGTTCAATAGTAAAAAGTATGATGAATTATTTGGATCGACTGACAAAGGATTGTTACACCGTCTCATGTATGAATAGAGAATATTAGTATAAGTTATGGAAATTTTACTAAAAATCATCACTTTGAAACAGTTTATTCAAGTTTACAAATTTCTGAAGGATTCATATCAGAAATTTAAAGTAAATCAAAACAAAATTGTTTTCTGAAGCTTTGAGTTTATCATTAAGCCAATGAGATGAAAAAAATAATTTTAGTGTAGACCATTGCTCAAATATTCGATTTACTACCATACTCAATGAAAGCCATCGGGTCTGTGTTGGTCTTAAAGTCTTGTGAGGCAGTGGCGTAACCAGGGGTGGCTAAGAGGGCTTCAGCCCCCACCCCATTGGCCGTATTATGGTATAAACAATATGTAATAAAATATAAAGTACAAAATACACATCATGATATTTTTTATGAAAACGGTATTGTTGGTATATAATACGTTACATAATATAAGGTATCGGATAATATTTTTGGATCGATATGAACGTAGTAGCGAACATTATGATACGTAAATTTTTTTATTATTCATGCAAAGTATATGTTTTGTTCATATTGTCATACATTAAAATATTATTTATACACATAGTATTGGCATTGATGGTACTACGGAAGGGGCAAGGTAGGCGGCTACCACCCTGCAAGTTCTTACTCTCCCTATACATTTCAAATATTGGTTGATAACCCCTCATATTACATATTTATTTAAAGTCTGTATGGCTGTATGTAATAATATTATTATCTGCAACCGTAGGAGCCATTCTTGTATATATTCTGATAAGATTTTTTGTGTCAACATTTTCAATATTATTATAATTTATTTTTAACATTGACAAATCATGAACCAATATTATTACTTTATTAATATCTGTATCACAAACGTTTTTCATGATTTTATACTTTGATTTGAAGTGTGTATTTTATTTAGTATTCTTGAGTTTTTTTGGATAATATTAATTATAATAAAAATTATGAACACAAACCAAATTAAAAAATAAAAACTTTATACGAATTTTTCATACAAGAACCATTATAGGCGGTTCTACGAGGTTTGCCGGGTGTGCCTTGGCATACCCTAATGTGAATAATGTGAATAAAAAAATTGAAAACTACAATTGAGAATAAATGTGCATACACATTAATTAAATTTTAGTTTTTTTTAAGTAATATTGCAAGTGTTCAGAATAAGTCTGAAATAATAATTACCTGTATATTTTATTAATCGTTATTTTACATCATTAACGAAGCCTTTACTTTTACAATTTAAATAACAACACGGTCTACATGTACGTATTTATAGCGCCCCTTTATATTTTGAAATAAACAACTAAAAAATGACAGGGCACACTCAAATGTATCACTCTGGGTCCGCCTATGAGAACCATCACAGGTAAATTGTGGTAAAAAGCCACGTCCACACTTAACATACATTTTACAAACGTTTGATCAAACGTTCGTCAAACATCCAAAATATCTAACCAATATGTTTTTTGAATGTTTGTTTGGTATAGATGTGTTCCCAAATAATTTTGTTTGTCAATATCCCAAACAAAATTCTTCGCTAATTATTCGAACATTATGGCATACATTTTATGAGAAACAAAATGATTTCGTACTAATAACTATTTTTATTTGTATATAATTTATTTACTATTTATTATTTGTAATATACACTTGAGATTAGGGTTAATATTTAAAATTGTATTGATACGATTCACCTGACGACAAAACTTTTAAAGTAATTTCTAGACGCACTGATACTGAAATACTTTTGCAAAAATTTGTATTTTTATTTACAACTTTGAGTTCAATTACATTTATTAAAAATTCAAAATCGGCACTTGAAATTCTTATAAAATTATTAAACAAATCACTTGCGTGTAAATCCAAAATGAAACGCTCACCACTATACATTTTTCGGCGTTGTAGTAGTTGTCTTACCTACCATCGTCTTTTACTTTTATCCTTCATTTTATTTTTATAGTGTTTATGAATATTTATGAATGCAGCTCCTGCACACGCGACTTGCTCTAGAGATGCCATAATCAAAACTGTAGATTAATGAATTGAGCAAACATAACGAACAAATAAAAATGTTTCTTATTTTGACAAACTATTCAACAAACATTTGGCAATCGTTCAACAAACAATGTTTCCCAAGATGTTTGCTAAGTGTGAACGCGGCTTTAGCGTGGTGGCATGATCGCTTTGATCAATACCTTGTATAGTGGTGTGTCTATTTGTAAAATATATATACAATACAATTATGGACGATGGACTATAAACTATAAAACTGTATCATTTGGCAGCACTGCTACTGTCTACTAGTATTATTACTCTATGGATATACCTTAATATATTTTGGTCCGTGATAATGTTAATGTTATCACTTATCACATTTTCCATCTAGATAAGGTATAAGCTTCCTATAGGAATCCAAAAAAATTTTATTCTGTGTTTAATCATTCAATTTGTTATTTAATATAGCTTATTTATTTGTTAGATTTTCACCACTATTGGGTTATTGAAACAAAATGGAAAATTTATCCATACCTACATTAAGAGAGCTTTATAAACATTACGTGAAATGGGTCAGTACTCATCCAGAACGCACTACAGATCTAGAAGCCTCAATAAAATGGATATCATATTTTCTAGCTGGTATTTTTTTATTAAATCATAATTTATACTGCCAGCATTCTTGACTTACTTGGCTCGTATTTGCAGGTCGAATCAATAACTCGACATTACTATCTGAACTTATATACTCCATGTCAAATTTCATGATGTTATTTAATGATCAAATTATACTAAGTTGTGCCAAAAACTCAGTATTGGTGAATGAAAAAGAAAAGAAAAAAATATTTTGTCCAGACAATATCAAGCGTTTTCTTACAATGGTTGATTATATTGAAGTGTTTATAGAAGTATCTGCTACAAGATTATGGGGTACTAAAGGACGATGGATTATTATTGTTCTTTTACAATCTATAAAGTAATTATTAAATAACTTATAATTCTTTACCTTGTGTTCATCTTGTGCAGTTTTACATAAATCAAAATAGAAAATGACTCTCAATAAGTTATCTTTTTAAAATTTTAGCTAACTAGTTTAAAATATTTTCAGTTTTTAAAGTTTTTTTTTCCATTTTTATTCAATATAATTTTTATTAAGAAATAAATCAATTTTATTAATGATAAAAATATTTAAGTTGACAAATGTTTAGTTTTCAATATATACATTCTTTGCAATTACATTAAAAAAAATTATTTATTAACTATGATAATTATAATGAAAATCACATTCAAATAACAAATGATATATCAGATTTATACAGTAACTATAATTTCAAAAATAATTCTTAATACAAATGTCCTCATAATTGTAACTTTTTTCTAATTATTTTGATGTTCCACCACCAACACTCATAAATGAAAGGTATGTATTCCAAGCTAATGATACTATTTGCACTGTTAAGACCCTGTACTGTTGTGGAACAATAGTAAAATTAAATGTTTGTACAGCTGGCCAGATCTGAAAAATTGTAGGATTATTATATGTGTTTATTAAAAAAAAAAAAATATAAAATTTTTTTGCCAAATAACTATTAAGCATCACAGTGGTATAATTACTCTCTAGTTTCTTTTGTATTTGTGGCCATTCATCACCACTAAACACTCTACTCATAATCATTACAGCTCCATTAACAATTGGCGATGCAATCAATTGGTCAACCAAAATTTTTTTAGCAACTATTGGTACTGTGTTACGAGTTCCAAATCGATCCAATGTTCTGTACCACATACTTAGTGATGGCCCAACCGCACACCCGATAGACGCATAACGAACTGTACGTAACCAATCAATTTCATTAGGTTTGCGCTTTTCAACTATACCTTGAGCCATTAGATCACCAAGACCGAATAAAAATCCTAAAATATATAACTATAATATTCATCCAAAAAAGTAATTCATTTAATATTGTAACATACCTGTTTGAACAAGATTGATCCTTATCGGATAGGTTTGACTATAATTTCTGTACCACTTTAAAATAGATGCCATTTTTATGTACTACTGCGTTTGTACTGGATAGTTTCCTACAGATTATTGTTAACTCTAACCAATGAGTTACGTTTTAATAATGACTTATTTGCTTTTACACTGTAAAGAGTTCCAATTAGTAGTTAAATTATTCCTAGTATTTGTTCTTTCATTAGTGTTTTAAGAATACAATTGAAAAATAATATGAATAGATTATAGTTGCCTAGTTATCAATTACTACTATTTTACTCTTAAATATACGTCAACGATGTAATAAAGTGCACCATACGGTTAATATAACCGGTTGATTTCATTTTTACTTTTTGTTATCTAAATATTGTCAGTACATGGTGCATACAGAGCGATCCAAATAGTAATTCCGCGCGTAGAACAACACTGATCGGGCGGGCTGTACATTTTTTTGATTGATATATGTCGCGTAAGCATGCGTTGACTGTTTAACTCTATGGTTTTTGATACTCCCGTATAAATTGAATAATTTTCTACTTATAATTATTTTATTATCATGATAAATTGTAAATATATTATAATATAATATTTTAAATCGTAAAAGGTTCTTTAGTGATTATGAAGTATACTAGATGTCTCGGTAGTAGGTCGTTTATTTTTATTAATTTAAAGTCGTATTTTCTAACTAAATAAATTTATATTTTGATAAAAATATTTATGCTTTTTTTCCTAGTAAAACCATGTAAACAGTCAAATTCCGTAAATGAGTATTGATACACTTTATAGGTTGTGATTAACATGGTATATTTTGTACACATTGCTGAATACTTAGTTGTTGACTTTTTTACTGATTAAAGACAAGTCATAAAATTGACTTACAAATACATATTTTTAAATTATTTTGTTTTAAAGTCGAAAACAATATTTGACAAGATAAATATAATTTACCGTATGTTGTGCCTCGGTTATATTTTAGTCTGTCGCATAATAGGTGAAGTATTAGTTTTATTGGTTTTTTGTTTTGTTTATTTGAATAGTCTATCATTTTCTATTTAAAACAAATTATAGTTCAATCAAATTTATAATTGGCTACTGAATACCTATTATTCTTATTATAATTTATAATATTATATCAAATTCTAATGAACTAATTTATTTACCAAGTACTTATGTATTAAATCAATTTACATCAGGGACGGCGCGAGAGGGGTGGGCAATAGGGTCAGTTGTCCAGGACCCCGTGCCTTAAATTATAATTAAGGCCCCGCGGTTCTGATTTAACTGAACTTAAAATATTTTATTAATATAAATTATAAGATCCAACATTTATTTTGCCCAGGGCCTCGCAAACTCTAGCACCATCACTGATTTACATTAATATTTACACGATCAGACAAAATAACATTTAAGGTCCCTACACACTGCCACATTGGCGGTGGCGGTAGCAGTAGCGATATTAAAATCGCAGACCTGAACCCATTGCGGCGGTGGTGATGGCGATTTTTATCCAGTATAAACATAATATATTTATATATTACATACAATAATTGTATAGTTAATTAATTAATTCCTATGTCATTGATAAATTGACGATTTATCTATATAGTACGTTTGTAGGTACTATATTAAGTACTTATACTATTGTACAGGTTTATATTGATTATATATATATATATATATATAAATACAGTGCATTTTATAAGGAATTTTCACTGGGCGACAAAAAATGTTTTTCTCATAATAGTCAATGTAATACCATAGTATGATTATAGTATTACACGTTTTTTTCGCATTATTTCGCCCAATCTTTCAAAATATTGTCAACAGAGTATAATCACTGGGTGACATTTGTGTCGCCTAGTTAACTAGTTAAAAAATGCACTGTATAAATATATATAATATTGTATTGATTATTTTTATATGAATTATTTTTAATTGAGTTAAATAGTATATTTAACTATAACTTGAATAGTTACTAGGAAATAAACGAAGTCTAGACTAATATACACTATATATATTAGATAGCAAAGTACTATTAGCGTATATTTGATAAGTCAATTGAAAATACCACTGCGCGGTGGCGGTAAAATCGAGCATGCTGCGGTTTTTATAAATATCGCAGCGGCGATATTTTACCGCGGCCGAATTATCGCTGCAGTGTGTGGGGACCTTTACTCAGTGACGGTGCGTCAGGGGAAACCGATACGGCGTCTCCCAAATAATTATAATTATTGAAAAAAAAAAAAATTGTTTTAATCTTTTTAAATTATTGTCAAGTATTTATGTAATCTATGTGTAAATAATATACTGTTATCAACTATATTCACTATATATATATATATATATATGTATGTATGTGTGTATTATATTATGTCTATCGTGGTGTGAATACGTATGATTCAATGAAAATACGTTCTGAGCTATTTTTGAATTTAGCGATAAAGACGGACGACGGCATCGTAAAACGAATGAGACGGTCGAACAACAGTTTCAATTCTAATGCCGGGTTTACACGATGCGTAATACTTGTCATTCGTACTTGTCACCCGCACTTGCACGTTGCGTGTGAACAGAAAAAATAGTGCTAAGTATTAGTAAAACCGGGAGTGCAAGTGAATAGAACGCCGTTCTATTTACTAACGACAAGTAGTTACCCCTCCACGACTCTAACCTACTCGCGGCTGCACTCGCAACGTGTGACCACTTAATGATTAGTATTAGTGCTTAATATTTGTGTTATCACTAGTGATGGGTGGTAATGAATAATTTGTACTATCGATTATTATTCGATTATTCATATATACTATCGAATAATTATTTGAATAATATTATGCATGACTAAATAATTAAAACTATCGAATAATTATTCGACTAATCTATACTATTGAATAATCAAAACCATCGAATAATCGATACCATTGAATAACTCGAATAAACTAGTGACTGAATAATTAAAACTATCGAATAATTATTGGACTAATCTGTACTATTGAATAATATTACTGAATAATCAAAACCATATAATAATCGATACCATTGAATAACTCGAATAATCTGTAGTCTGTACTCTATAATGTCAATAATTATTCATATATGCTTGCCGACGGTCGTACTTTATCCATACGCCAAGTGTATTTTTCTATCATAAGTTATTCACCAGTTTTCTCTTTTTTATATTAATATATTGGGCTAAAAATATAAATCATACGTATTCTTCAAAAATAATCGTGATAGTTATTATTCAATAACGCCCATCACTAGTTATCACGTGTACGGCGCATGTTGCACACTGTGAATTGTGATAATTCTTAATTCAACTTCTAGTTCATCTATGATTGATGAAATTATTATGTTTGAATTATACTTCAAACTTTGTTATACGACAACGGTCCATTATATACTTCTTCACGACTTAATTGATCTTGACGATTAATTTTTTATTTTATAATGACTAATAATATATTATTTACTTCTAATCACTATTTTAGGAATTATAATCTTATTTGCTATTAATTTTACAATTTAATATATATAATATATTTAATATTATTATCATTGATTATCATATTATGTTACTATCTACCAAAGGTTGGCATTAACTAGTTAGTTTATTTTCTTATAAACTTTTTAACTTAACTAGATTAACTGACAGTTGAATAACTTAGCTTTTTATAGTTGATTTAAAAAGGATCTATAAAGTTAAAAAATTTTTAAATTTTTCATTTATACGTAAATATTTATACAAAAATTAAATAATCATGTAAAGTAAAATGGTCGTATACACTGTAAATCAGATGTCATATAAGATTTTGATTTTGTTGGTTGGGTGCCCACCTTTGGGTATTGGGTTCTGGATACAAAATGTTATGTATAAAGAATTTTAACTATAAAGATAAATAAATATGGTATTGAGTGGCCCCTTGATGTACATTGTACTATGTCAGTATTTTTCAAACACTTCAGCGCCACTGCTGTATATTATGATAAAAAATTCAATTGAATTGTTTATTATAATTTAGGAAATAAATCTTTCTGAATAACGAAGTCACTTTTTATGTGATTTACTTACTAATTAAAAAAGTAGATTAACTTTTTTTAAACTGAGTTCAATTAATATTTTTTTTCTTATTAATTTATAACTTATTGAGTTAAATTTATGAATTGTTAACTTTTAATTTTTAACTTATTGATCTTGTGTTCTCTTAACTTAACTTAATTCGAGTTTATTATTTTCATTAACTTGCCCACCTTTGCTATCTACTAATACCTATCACCTAGTGCGAGTGCAAATGCGAAAGTCGTGTGAACGCTCAAGCAATGAGCGAGTACTAATGACAAGTACTACGCATCGTGTAAACCCGCCATAATAGATAGGAGGTAAATAAAAGTTCGGATGGAATCTATTATTGATAATGGTTACTGTACGGAGTCCGGGAGACTAGTCTCTGACACGTTATTCTTTGCGTATATTTTTGTAGTGGATTATCTTGGTACATTAGATAGATCTTGTAGCGTTTTTGATTTAATATTGAAATAATGAAATCAAAACATTGTACATTAGATGAATTATTAAATAATTATTTACATTCATTTACGTATGATGAAAAATGTAAAGTAAAAAACAAAAGGCCTACTCCATATTTATTGATTGAATATAAAGACGGAAAATTTACCCGTACATTTCAAAGTAGTTGGTATGATAAATATACGTGGCTTAGTGGCAGGGCATTTTTTAAGGTAATTGTTACTATGGCCAAAAGACCACCCAGTGTTCTCTTGTGGCCACTCAGTCTTCAACGTTTGGCCATGAGAACATTTTTAATATTTTCCATAGGTATAGGGGAAAAAATATTTATTATATTAAGAGTATGAATTTAGTATTTACTTCAAATGTTCAAAAATAAAAACTTATAAAATAATTTGAATACTTAATCAAATTTTAATAATATTTTACTAAGGATACAATTTAAAATAATATTACATATAACTTAAATTTAATTTATTTAAATATTATAAACTAGCATCTTTTCTAAAAAAATTCTGAATAAAATCTCTATCAGAATATAAAGAGAAGTCTGGCTCACAATACAGTCTTTCTTTTTTGCGTAGAAATTCTCAAATTCTCGGAATTCTTGGCTCTCAAATTTTATTCTAGCCACCTAGTGAAAATTCCTTAAAAATTGCCCTGCTTAGTGGTTGTAATAAACGCAACAAACTTTTTTTGTTTCATTTGTGTATTTTTTCGAGGTGTAAAATAATGGAGTTTTGATGGAATATCAACTATAAAAAATATAATAAGAAAAGCAGAAAACCATGCTATTTCGAAAACATACTTGAAAAATCAAGAAAAATTTTATCTTTTGGGAAAAATTCGTATTGAACATGCAATTTCAGATTAATATTAATATTTATATTAATTTGTTTGTTATTTTATCAGTTTTAATTTATATCTATGAAATCTTTATCTATAAAATAAATATTAATTAAAGTTTGAATTGAATTTCTATATATATAAACCTATCAGAATATTGTATACAAGAAACTATGAACAATCAATTTTTCAGTATCTAGTTTAAATTAAAAACTTAGAATGCAATAGAATAATTTGCTATCAAAAATTTAATAGTAACCAATAGTTACACAAAAATGAAGTTTCCCGTAAATTTTATTCACGCACCGCTACTGTATTTACTTGTTGGAAATTAAAATTTGATTTAGTTTACAAATTTACAATAGGTAGTATATTTTATAATAAATTTCAATAATGAATTTATCTACGATTTTTTTTCTCTCAGCAGTATTTAACTAGGTACTAACTATTCGAAATTGAAAAAAAATATTATTTTTAAAAAAAACATTTTCTTAATTATTGAAGAATCTCAAAAATGTAAAAAAAAAATAATAAAACTATTATATATTGTATTATAATCCATGAGGCTCCTTTCGTTAGTTTAAATTGCATTATTTTAACATTTTTATCGTAGTTTTATACATCCAATTCAATAAACCATCTCAAGTCTACATCCAACCATTTTTGTTAAGCTTACATTTGCCTATCATTAAAGATTCGTATGTACGCCCCCGCATGAACACTAAATGAGTGGGTTTGAAATTCTATTACTTTCTAAACATTGTTAGGTCTACTAGTAAACGTATATATCTATGTAAATTATTTTTACTAAACACATTGATCCACTCATCTGTATTTAGACTGTGTGCAAGTAACCAAGCATGCTTATTTCATTAATTTAATTCAAGTACATTAAACTTTGACTCTTGTCCAGTGTCGTCCAGTAGTTAATGTAGTGTATCCCTATTATGGCTTCTATCGTCTCAAACTGCACTTAATAGTATAAGTTTACTAAGAAGGGTAAGAGATTAAAGTCACGCTTATAAATTCATTCAACTTATTCAGCATTTTATGAATTATACACATTGTAAAATGCCCAAACCGAGTTGAGTAAATAACGCATGTATTTTTTCAGTCATGTTCATGTATGAAAATGCATCGTGTTTGGAAATTAATTATTCATTTGACGGACAGTCGAGTTATATACACGCAGCATGATAATATTGTAATTTATGCTGTTCGAAAGGTTCTTAAATTAATAAAACTTAATACTATATACCTAGACCAACATTAATAACGTGATAATTTTTTTTTTTACATTATACACACGACTACCATATTTTTGTAGTATTTATTTATAATAGAGGTACTTTTAAAATAATTTATTTGTAGGTATTAAACACTTTGAAAAGTATTAAACTAAGATAAATTAATTATATTAACTCAGTCTTTAAAATGTCATTCTAATAAGTTCTGGATTATTTAAACTTGATAAATAATTTATGATGTGAAAATTTTAACTATTTAATTTATTAATTGTAATACAATTTATTATACGTTATTTTTAACACGCGTTTTCGGCCAACTATTATAAATTTATACACAGAATTTTACTCGCATAGTTTATAATAAAATTGAAAATCAGACTTAGATTGTACTATAGAAAGGTCATTTATATTTACATTAATGATCAATAAAAATTGTAGATTAAATACAATTTTATCTCTGTAGAGGTATTGGACGTTTGTTTTCAGCAATTGAAAGTAATGTTAGAACCTGATCTTGATTATTATTACAATATACATATTCATATACAAATATACCCAAATCATGCTGCATACTTTTTTAATTTATCATTATATTAACTGATGCGATTTCGTAAGCTACAGCATGTTAAAACGTTTTTAGAGTACGATGCTATTTTATTTAATTATCCATCAACACGTGTATTAACAAATATAATTTTATGAGAAAAAAAACGTTCAAATTTATTAACAGTTTTTTAACTATATATATATTAGTTTTTTTAGTTCTTACATATTGAATAAAAAAAATTAAGTTTTTTAACTTAATTTTTTTTTATTCGATATGTAATAACTGTTTGAAACTAGACGAGTAATTTAAATGCATTAGTTATGTGTGCTCCAACTGTCAATACTAATTTTATCCATCGTGAATACATGACCAATATCGAATTACTACAAAAAAGATGCACGCAGTCGTTGATATATTTATACTTCGTGTGTGACTATTGTTTCGCTGTTTAATTACTATAACAGTGCATGTATATTACATTGTAAAACACCGATGTATACAGCCCAAATTATGTAATTAAATGAAATTGTTTAAACAAAATATTATAATAAATATACGTGTAGAATTCATTAACAGTTTAACATCAATGTAAAACAAAATATCTTCCTTACGCTCACGGATGCTCATATAATCGTCTGTTGGTTCAATAATTATTAATGCAAGAATTATTGTTTTTTTTTTTTTCAGATGTTTGGCACGTTTGTATCTGTTACATATACACAAGCTTCACATGCTCGAATCGCCTCCCGTACAACCATTAGATCGTAAAACGGTTGGCGTTAAACAGAAGAACGACGGGCTTGACAGTGTAATAACATTACCGTCGGGACGAACGATTCGCAAAATGGAAAACGGTGAATATTAGGCAGAGTTAAATCATTTTTTTTTTTCTAATTGTATTCTTAATTATAATCGTATGCATTTTCGCATTTCAGCTCCTCCGATAAACCGACGCACATGGGAAGCTCCGCCGAGAGCGAATAGACTAATCGACGGTCCTGGCAGATCAATAGACGATAGACACATCGTAGCCGAGGTTAAATACGAAAATTATGCACTTTGATTGCTTATGAAATTATTTAATATTTTTAATGCTATTTGAAACATCGGCCCACTAAAATCGTTCGCTTGATTGTAACGTGTTGGTACAATTTTTTTTCAGACCATGTACATAATGAAACCAATTGTTCACTTAGGCAGTATGTGTGTATTCGGCGAGAAATCGTGGAAACCTTGGTTCATTTCCCTAACAATTGAATACATTAGGTGAGTCGAGTAAATAGAATACTTGCAAATGTTTGTTTTACTTCTAATTCTTTAATTTTTCGTTAATTATTCCCGCATTACAGTTTGCAAAGGTTAAAATCATCGCAAAGTCTTACGCCCCAGCAACGCTTGGTGATGTCAAAACGAGCACTTAATTTGGCCATGTACATAGTGCGATCTCCCTTCTTCGAAAATTATTCAGAAAAACATATTCGCGCATTTTTACAATGGTTTGTGAACTCGGTGCCGTTGGTCGGTCCGCTCATGCGGCCTTTCCTTGAGTACATGGAACAATGGCAAGAAACATATTTCTATCTTTGGTCGACTTAATTATTTTGTTTCACATAGATGGAAACAATACTTTGTTAAAGGGAAAAGACAACAAAAAAATCTATTAGGGTATGATTAAGGTATTATTGTTGAATTAAGTTTATTTAATAATTTAATTTAATTTTTCCGATGTGAACTTTTGTAATATGGTGCATTTTTTATGGTATAAATTGTTAGGAAATGCTCAATTATTTTACTAGTTTACTTTGTTTTTGTATTCCAATACACTATATATTTATTTTAAATACTATTACCACTGACAGGGTTTATGTGAAAATAAATTAAATTACTTGTTTAGTATAATGCAAAGAAAGTTTTATTTCATTAAAAAAAAAAAAAAAATTATAAAATATGCCAACTGTTTTATATACAATATAATTTACAATATTAGACACATTTTATCACAACTAGTGATTAGTCAAATGTAAATGTAGTCCCTATTTTTATATTTATTGTTTGTCAACCACAGTGGCGGCGCTAGGGGTGTGCGAACTGTGCGGTTACACATGATCCCGCAGTTAACAAAAAGTGGAGTAAAATTTACAAGTATGAATTCGAACACCGTTTATTATTGTTAAATACTAGATTAAATTTTATTATGAAGTAGTTGTAATCTTAGACATGCTTTATAACGATTTAACACTAAGCCGATAGCACGTAGTGAATTGTTTACAGAAAAAAAAAATAATTAACATAATTGTAAAACCATAAGATCCTTCGCTTCACACAGAATTTAAAATATTTTTATAATAAATTTGTACTTCTTGAGAACACTTAGTCATAATTTTCTAAATAATTCTTAAACCAAACATTTTTTATTGATAAGAAAATAAAAAAAATGGTAATTTTTATTTGTATTATAAGGTGGCAACGCTTTTGTTACATCTTTTGAGTATTTGATTGAAGAATTCAGTCAGAAAAAGTAGAGTTCAGTCAGTAGAAGAGTTTTTGAAAGCATATGTAACCATAACTGAAATGTAAATACAATTTCATACTTTGTGCTAATACTATATTTTATACTTAATCTATTTAACTTTTTGTTTTATTTATAGATTGTTCCAACATCCTAATAGGTAATTTTTTAGACTAATTAATTATACACACGAAAAAATAAACCACTCTTTGAACAAAAAAAAACTATAATGCATTATAGGTTATATATGCAATCGGTAGTCGTTAAACAGCGGGTGATGATGAAAATCTGCTTTAAAAAGCAATAAAAATGCATAATTTTGCACCTAATTAAAAAAAAAAAAAAAATGAATACCCCCAATACGGTAGTAAAGGCCTCGCAAATCACGTGTTGCACAAAGCCTCGCGACAGCTAGAGCCACCACTGGTCAACCATTCCCAGTAAATTGTATACACGGTATATTTTCCATTGGTATGCGTTTAGTAGCATTATAAGTATTCTGCTATTTATTTATTGATGTGTTACTGTATTGGTAATTAATCAAAAGCTCAAGGCTTGATTAACATTAACATAAATACCATTTTAACAACTAAACAAATATTAGTGTATAAATTAAATACATTTTCATGAAAAATTCTTAAGAAACTTTATATGTAGTGCTTATATAGTCCCAGTGACGCTCCAGACGTATTTTTCAGGTATAACAAGATTACTCACAGATATACCCATCCAAATTCCAAATAACTTAACATTTAAAGAATGTTTTATTATTTGTCAAAACGATGTGGGTATTATACTAATATTACAAAACATGAATAATACAATATTATCATAATTAATATCAACAATAATGATATTATTATCTGTTAAGTTTATTTTTTATCTTACATGTTATAGTACCCCTCCCCCTTATTTTCTAGGTATAGCAGCTGCTACACCTAGCCATAAAGATAGGTGCCACTGAATTATTTTAATTAAATTAAATTATCAACATTTGTATACCTTATGCATTCAATAAATTTATTAGAATAGTACATTGTACTGTAGCCTACAGAATATATGAACTTAGTCTCAAAAATATTGTTTACAAATGAATTTTTGATTATAGAATAGTAAATCGACAAGCTATGTTTAATTATAATTACTATAAACTTAACCAAAACTATTAAAAATTAATTATTTACAACATAAGTGCAAAAACAAAAAAATGACTTGTTCTTTAACTGCAAGGTGTAATATCACATTTTTAAATTGGCTATTTAAATATAACAGTACTTTAAATTTAATGAATATTTATTGTAAATGTAACAAATAAAATCACAAGATTGAAACATATGTTATGGTACACATCCACAGTAGAAAAAAAACACTTAACGGAAAAAAATATACTTATAATGTCATGCATTGCCTACATTTTGATGTTAACGAATATTTTTTTAAATAAAATAAAAAGGGTTATTAATCGAATTAGGTCATGGTGAAAAAATGATTGAGTACCAATTTGGTTCATCTAATTTTTTCGAATATGAATATAGTAACGAGTAGAATGATTATTTCCATTGTCTATGATTGTGTACCATTACCATACTTTCAATGTCAAGTGCCATTTATATTAATAAATAAAAATATTTGATCACACATTACATACAATGTTTGAAGCATAATGAGTCATCATTTCAATAGTAAGTAATAAATGTTTGAACGTTATAAATAGTAGTTTCACATGGAATAAATTCAACATAAGTATGTAGGATGTGATTCCTTATAATATTGTTTGGGAAATTTTTAATTAGAATATCACATGTGTGGTTTAATTATGAAAAGAAAATATGAATTTAAGATATTATGTAATCTATTATTTTATGATTATTTCATTGTTAATAGGAAGTTAGTACAGCTGGCTTTTTAAAATACTATAAAGTTCTATAATTATATTTATTTCTTTGAAAATTACTTTTGTTTTTATCAGTTTCCACGTGGTTATAAAAATGGTCTTTATGAGTGTTTCCAAATCAAAATTTATTAAATACACTCAACAAAATGTAATCATTTGAATCAATGCTAATAATATATTATATTTTATGTACAAAACATAACTAGAAAAATATTAAATAGTTAACAATTTTTATTTTATTTTACAATCTAATGGCAAATTAATATTTGTATAATCATAATAATATTTAGTAAATGTTTTATTTAAAAATAAAGTTAACAACAATTAGTTACCAATAATACAATTCTACTAAGAAAATAATAATATATTACTATTCTTGTAGAAATAGATACTATTATGTTTTAATTAGTGACATAACAAAATGGAAATAAACCAATTTAATTCAAAATCAATTTCATAATGGACTTCTTTAACTAAATGTGTTCTGATTCAATAATATAATTTAAAATTGGAACATTGTTTAAATGCTCCTTATTTATTAAAAATATCTAATCCAAACGTTTGTCCTATGCAAATTATACATTGTATTGATTCAGATTTGATTTGATCTATAAAATCTTGTTTTGGAACGTATTTAAAATATATGTGACATTCAACCTTAAGTTTAAATAATAATATTAATAATAAATATTCATTTATTTTAATTATATGCTGTTCGAATAAATAAGTAATTACATAATACTCTAAAATATTTCACAGAGTAGATAATGCCAGCAAATAGATTAAGGTTCAATTAAAATAATTTGAATATTAAGTAAAATTGTTACTGGAAATAAAAATATTAAATATCTGTTTCTATTTACTAGTTGTTCCCTTATTTTAACAAAAAAAAAGAAGAAAAAGAAACATCAAAAGTTTTCTTCCATTAAATATATATAAATTAACAAACAATTTAATTTTAAAACAACCAATATTCCAAAAATATTAATTGGATCACAACATCTTTTTTGGCAGAGGAACAAACAATACACAGTGGTGCATGTACGTCATTCCATGACAGTTATCTAAGGAGAGCAATGGGTTTTTCCCTCTCTAGGGTTTTATCACTATACATTAATACCTATAGTTTATGAAATTATATATTATATAGGTAACAAATTTTTATTTTAAATTACTTGTAGGTGATAATGATTAAAATCGTAACTATTCCAACAAGAGTAATAGAGGAGGAGAGAAGATGATTACCCCTTGATATTGATAAATAACTGCCACTGACGTCACTGTTGTTTTTTTAATATTATACATATTATTTGATATTCAGAATTATTTATTGTTTATGATACTGATTCTACATAGTTGGCAGGATATAAGCCAACTCGACCATCTTTACGTCCCTTACACCAACCTTGTTCGTCTTCATCTTCTAATTTTTCAAAAAGATCACCTATGATGAAAGTTAATATTTTAATCATTGCAAACACTTTTTATTTTGCTTAAGATCATTTATTTTTACCTTGTTTGAAACTGAGCTCATCAGCTTCAGCACCCTCGTAATCATAGAGTGCTTTTACAGGTACACCGGGTTCGCCATTGTCCACAAGCGCACCATCGGGACCAACTCCTTCTTCCTCATCCCATTCCTCCTCCTCAAATGGGTTTGAGTCTGGAGTTTGACTGTTGGACGCTCCATTGCTATTATGGATATAAAATAAATAATACAAAATAAAATAACATATTCTTATATTAAATCAAACACTATAGGTTTTACTGTGGTTATATTATCAATACTTTGGATTAAAAGGAATTTCTAAGTAAAAAGAAGTAATGGGACACGTGTAACCGATCTTACCAATTGACATAGGTATATAAGGTCCGGTGCACGGCCCCTTCATTAGGAATCTAGATGACATGCATAGGAGTCATTTAAAAAAAAAAAAAAATTGTTTTTTTAAAAAATTACTGAAATATTCATATAACTCACGTTATTGGATGCGATTTTGTTCCATTAGGTTTTTCTGTTGATTGTTTATGATCATCTGTACTATCATTGGACCGTGATAATGCAACAGTTGGCTTTTTGCTATTTACTTTTGGATTAGTTAAATGCAAATCCTAAAAAAAGAAAACAAAATAGAATGAAAAAGTAATAAGAATCATAACATTGACACTCAGAAAAATTATCTAGACAATGCATAATAAATTGTAGGATGTATTCGAAATTGTAAATATAAGTTACACACTAATAACACTCTTTCTAACTAATATGTAAATTAACTAAAAACAAATGCACACTAACATTTACATGCAAATCTTCGCCAACTGATCGCTGATTGATTAATGTAATTGTTCCAGCTGGTATAGATTCTTTGAGTTTCCCTTTGGATATTTCACGGAACTCTTCTATATAATCCTATAGAAAAAATAACACGACAACACACATGCACACAAATTAGATTTAATATTTTTCTACAATTATTAAAAATTAAATCAAGGCATAAACCAAAATAATCATATGCATCTAGTAAATAAATTATAAATAGCTTTCTACAATTCAAAAAATTATAAGATAGTGTACATATGTTACATAAATAAACAAACCTCAAACAAAGGCCAATTCATAGCCATATTTACACCATGATTATTTGACCACCACCGTAAATCTTTCTCATGATCAGCATTGTTAATAGTATGATAAAATTCTTCATAGATTTGGGGCAATCTGATATTTTAAATAATAATAGGTATTAAAATGTATAGAAATTAATTATTATTATTTACTTACACAGGATCTTGAGAAATATTTAGGCATTTATGTATTGTAAATAAGGTATCTTTGAAAAATTGTAATCTCCTAGCTTCTGTTTCTTGACATCTATCAAATACAACAGTCATATCTTCCATGTATTTAGGATTATAAGAATTTAATTCTTGAAGAGCCATCTCATATTTTTCTTTGGCTTTTTGTACTTCTTCCTTTGATTTGGCAACACGATCTTGCATTTTTTTTACCTGAACAACACATAATGTTTATATTTTCAATTACATTAAATTTATGTATACTCTAAAATATAATTTAATTATTACTTGATCCATTGACAAGGAACTATCAGCAGAAGCGTTTCGTTCTTGATTCGAAGCTGATTTTTCTGCTTTACATGCAATATGGTACTCATTTTTTGTTTTATTCACTTTGGTTAATAATTTACACCAAGGTTTTTGAGCTTTTTTAAATGATTCTTCCATTTCTTTTCGTTCTTTTATGTGTAAAACAGTCTGAAATAAAATTAATATTAAAAAAAAAATCTTATATTATACATACATCTTTTGCTTGTCAAAAATATACAACTTACCTTATGATAATTGTCTTTTTGCCACGTCTTAACTTGTTGCATGATGTCATTACATAAGTCATCTTTAACTCTCACATGTAAATCACATAGTCTATCAGCTTCAACTAGTACACCCTTCCAAGCTGCTTCTGTTGTTCCGTACTCAGGACCTTTTTCAATGATATCATTCCATTTTTTGGACCATCCTTTTAAACTTTTAGCATATGCTTTTTCAATGTCTGATCGTTCTTGTATAAGCGTAATAAGGTCATTACATAATCGATAACCATCTTCAATTCTTTTAGTTGTACGTTTGTGATTGCCAGGTTCCCAAAATGAATCACTACTTGCTATGAGCATATTGTCATCACTATGATGTGACATGATCAATGATATTTACCTACAATTAAAACAAATAATTTTCATTGAGTAATCTAAAAAATATATGATTGGAGCAATGAAGTACTTGAAAACTGATAGTGTCTCATAGGTTTCATAATTTTATAATTATTTCAAATCTATAGTTTTAACTGGTGTAAAAATATACACTTAATAAAAAAAAAATGTAAAAAAAAACTTTTAATATTTGAAGGATTACATGGAAAAACCATAATACTTAGTCAATATTCCTTAAATGTTTAATATTTTAATTTTAACATTTCAGAACTCAAAAATGTTAGAGATAAACTATGAAATAATTTTAAAAAAAATTGTAATTTATTTTTAAAAAAAATGAGATGATATAATTATCAGATATTTTTCTTTTTTTGACTTGTATCGTTTTTCCCCATAGCTCTTCGTTTTTCTTATCATATATAATACACCATTTTATAAAATTAAGCATTTGTACTTGAATTGAATTACTCTTAAATATGTTTATTTTTAAAAAATCAATGGAAATTAACAAAGACTTATTCATAGTGTACAACTGTTTTAATAATGAAGGCCTTAAATGAATCACTATTATTCATTATTGATACACGTGTTAAAATATTCTCAACTGTACGGCTAGAGTAACAAATCATTACCCCTACCTACTACATTTTAATATGAATGATGTCATTTACCAATTGGACCGTTAATATACTGTACACTATTCTTCGCTTAATATCCATCGCATGGAATAAAATGGTATCCGTGTACCCCCTCCCTACACAACAACACTAAACCAATGACATATTGCGGTAGGACGAGTTAAATTTTGCAGAGAATAGTTTAAGAATAATAAATATTGTTTTTATAAAAATATTAATATTTACAATTCACCATAAAAATATTACATCGCATTTAAAATATAATTATTCAGGTGTAATTAAATAAACAAAACGGGTTCCTTAATAAATATTTAATTACTAGTTTAGATTGTTTTGTTTTATTGATAACATTGATGTGTAATATAATGTATAATAAAGAACATCAATGAGCCATAGGCCAAATGTTTTGGCATAAATATGTATAAACCACAATTTATCGCAATAAACATACACATAGGTATTTAACCAATAATTACATCCACCAAAAAATAATTATTAAATCAATAAACTCGTAAATTTATTCAAAAGTACGTATACAAATGGGATCGAATAACATGTTTGTTAAAATTTGCAGTATTAATATAATCCCTAGCATTGAATCATTCGATTCCAGTTCACCTACGACGTTAGTCCTACGTGGATATAGTTCAGTATAAACATGTTTAGTATATACACTATAAAAAAATAAAAATTACTTAAATTCTGCGACTACAAATTATAAGTACCCTATATTTTATCTGAGAATTCATTTACTATAATATTGTAAAATATCTACGTGCGATAAACTTAAAAATGAAATGCCAATGTCTACATAAAAATCTTAAACTAACATTCTTCGATATTAAAAAAATAAACAGTGATACTTCTTGTTCTCTGGCCATAAACAAGATAATAAATCTACTTCAAAACTTCTATGGGATCGAAACAATATTTGAACGGAACACGGTTTAAAAATTATAATATATAAATAAATATAAGACTTAAAAAAATAAATTGTATGTACCACGCCAAAATCAAAAATGAAAAACTTATGAGCGTTAGTTTGGTTAAATTTAATTAACATCGTTAACTCGTTAGATATTAGGAACACAACAATATAGAACACACCGTGAGAATAATGTTATGTAGTTAAACTTACAAGGAAGAATTATAATAAATAAAATCAAAACGGAAATGTAAACGTGGTATGCTAGAATTTTTTATGCTTCCTGTGTAGACATAGATTAAGATTTTATAATTAATAATCCTCCGCCTTGAAAAACTTATTTTAAATATTATTCCATAGGTAATTATTTAAATGCATAAGTAAAAGAAAGTACTCTAAAAATGTATTTAGATAAAAATGTCGATAAATATAATGTGAACGTTTTTATAAATAAAATAAAATATCATTTGATAAAATGGAAAAATATAATAGGTAAATCACTTTTTTCACTTTTACAAATAAAAATAAAATGCATAGAAAAAAAATACACGAACGTTTAAACTAATAATATAAGAAAAATAAAAATAAAAAACAAGTGATGTCTATGTCAAATAAAAAAACGTATAATAATTTCAGTTTTATCCGATAGCTATAAAAATGATAAAGTTTAATAATTAAACCTAAAAATAAAATACATATTCGTATATATTTAATGTAATAAATATCAACAGCATAATACTTCTCAGCTTTCGAGATTAAAATTGTAAGTTAATAGGGTATTGGTCATGGAGGGTCAATGTAATAAATCGTAATAAACAGTATTGTTATTATAATATACATAACGATTATATTATTACTGAAATTATGTAAAAAATATAATTAATTAAAAAGTTAGAAATTACTGACATCCTTGGGTCCTTTTTAGTCGAATTTAAAATTACATATTTGTTTATTAAGATAAACAAAATAAACATAATACAAAAATTGTTCAGTTATCATATCAGAATTAAATAGAATTAAAATTAGAAAAACCGTTTCAAAATAAAAATTCAATTTTTAATATTCAAAGATATTATTAAAAAACAATAGAATATAATTTTCTAAACATTGATTATATACAATTAACAGTATAGTTTAATTAAAGAAATGTATCAATCAATAGAAAACAAATATAATTATTTCTGTTCGTTTTAATAAAAAATAAATATTATCAATGGTGTTTTTAGGTAGAATATTATCATATATGATAAATCCTCAGTGGAATGTTGATTAGCTTGCAGCATATTTGGTCCTTGACCCTCTAGGCCACACCCAGTATAGTGTGCATGAGAGGCCTCTTCTTATATCTACTACTGTATAACATAAAACTTGCCAATACAGATTAATTTTAATGATGATAATGCACGAATTTTAATCGTTATATTGGTAGCAAGATAATAGCAAATGATAACAGAAATAAGAATTTTTGTATTAATATCTATTAAAAAAAAAAATATCGATAAGTAGACATCTACCATATCATTATATGTATTTGGGTCTTGAACTAAACTAATAGTGTGGTAAAAAATATCGTTTGTATGTTATGCACTTTTTTATCTGTCCAGGAACTTAGTATGGTTAATACACAAAGTCCACTGTTAATATGGGATACCCTTACATTTGGCAATAGTTGTAGGTCTTCCTTATACAATCCAGTCTTTGAACTTATTGATTGTTTCAAAACGCATGTATAATGTTATAGTGATAAGTTTGTAAGTTTAAATATAATAAAAATAATACCAACTTTATAAATTTTATCTATTTTGATAAATATTCCAACTACCAATATTGATATAATTCAAAACTACATTATCTCATTATCAAAAATAAAGCAATCATGTATATATATATATATAGATAAAAAAATTATTATATTTATAATTTATACTTTTAACTAGAATTGTTATCATATTTCAATATATTATAATACAAAAATATAGTCTACTTTATTAATTTATCTAATATTTGTTTTTATAAAATCAGATAACAATTTGTCAAATTTTATATTTTCTTTAAAATATTCAATATAAAAAATATTTTAATCATCCAACATCACATAGAAATATTCTTAACATATCAATATTAAACTATCATCAATAAAGACAATATATGTAAATAATCAATATATTTATATCATTAACCAAGTACATAATTTTATTTAAAGTTACCAAAAACTATGATTCACATATTTTTAATTGCTGAACATACATTATATTCAAATTTAAAATAGAAATTCCGTTTTATTTTTGTTATTATATCAACAAAATTATAAAAATAATATGTATATTTATTATATTTATTTTATTCATATTTTATACACATATGACATATACATACATACACACATAAATTCATATAACATTTAGTATATATTATATGAAGAATTTAACTTATGGATACAAAATACTCTTAGTTATAGTTCACCTAGTTCTAAGTTCTACCAATCAAATTATGTGATGGTAAACATACAAAAATTATTCACATAATTAACTATGAAGTATTTTGTTTACAAGATATATGAAAAAAAAACATACAGTTTTTGATAAAATGTTGTAAACCCGGCTGTAAACATTCAGACCTAATATAATATTCCATGCAAATAGCTCACGTAGCTATATTAACATAACAGTTTATTATTTTTTATTAAATGAGATACATCCTATTACTATACAGAAATATATTTTGTCATTGTAATTTAAAAAGTTTAGAGACAAAATTAATAAATAAATAATTGTTATAAAAATTAAATAAATAAATGTTTATATAATTTATTATATAAATTATGAAATTTAATAGCTTTACGTAATGAATTTAAATGTTGAAAACAATTAATATTTATATTTTAAACAAATCTTATAATCAATATGGCTATGGTAAAACATATCAAGAAAACGATCATTTCAATATTAGAAAAAGTAGTATGGACTTAAGTACCTTGATAAGTACCATTTTCAATTTGAGTATTAATTGCATTTGGACCTTGATAAACACTATAAGTGTTGTTAAAATTGTTAATTTATACAAATATAAATGAAATTAAAAATATTTTAATATACTACGTACACAAAATCATCAAATATAAGAAATAACACATAAGACCCAAGGACTATTTTCAAAATTTTATTTCTACATCTAAAGTATTATGAATATATTAAACCTAAAATACAGAGACAATTTTAATAATAATTTAGATTTCTACTTTAATCATTGTGACTATTCATACTGCAAATTAAAAGAATATTAATTTATAATTCATTTTTGTAACTGGCAACCAGCTTAAAATAATAGTTTGTATAGTATAAAAGTTAAATAGTATTTACATAGATAGTTCATTATAAATGTATCCTAAGTATTAATGATTATTTGACAGTAGATTAAAATTTACCACAAATTAAATAATTCTACTTCACCCCAAACAATAAAAAGTATAGATATGTATTTATTGCTATCATAAATCTTACAATTCAAATAAATAAACATGTTCAGTTTAATATATTAATATGAGAATAATTAAAAATGTTATATAAAAAAATATAACATATAAATAACTTATATATTCTATTTAGTATACCAACAATCAACATTTTATAAAGAAATCTGTAGGATATTTATAATATACAAAGAACAACAATGACTTTTTTAGTATTTATAAGTTGGAGTTTGTAATTTAAATTAAATAAGATTTTATCACAAAAATTGTAATCGAACTATAGATGTTAAATTTGACTGACTTTCTAAAGAAATATATAATATATTGTTATTCTTTACAAAAGTAATATTACATCATATATCTATGCCGAATAACCTTTAGTCAGAAAATTACTAAAAATATAATAATTTAGAATAAGTTATATATATTAAAGTAATAAATAGTGTTCATAGGTATGTAATAATAAACACTTAAAATTATTTATTCATAATTATTAAAAAAATATTATTATTTCTATTTTAACTATTATAAAATAATAATTTAATAAATTATGATTTGAAAATAAGAATTATAATTTATAATCATCCTCTTTATACTAATAAATGTCAGATTAAAATTAAAATTACTATCAATAATCAATCATTATCAAAAAATATTAATAAACATTCAAATAGTATAATATTAAAAATGAACATTTGTTATTTAGTCCTAATATCTTAAATAAAATGTATTATACCCAACATTACATAGGTAGTGATACAGAATCTTAACAAATTTGTTTTTGACTATATGACTTATGATTGAGTTCTAATGACATTTAATAAAAATAACCAGCTCAAGATTTTTGGATTTATAACTAATTGTACTTTATTTCATCAAATGGATAGTTCTGAAAGGGAATAGGTGAAAAAATAAATACAATAACGATTGTATGTGATCAATATGATCTCCAGATCATGAAGTTATGCCTCCTATTCTAAATACAAAAAATACATTTCAATAATCTTGTGTGCAAAAATATATCACTTAGAGCCACATAAACAAAACTAAAATTGAGTATTAGTTAAGAAACAGAATCTAGAAGACCTACCCGACCAAAACCCTTCATTCTAACGGGTTTAGTGTTTGTTCCATAGAAAAAAAATTTTCCCAAAAATTTGAGGGAAAGATGAATTATGTTCATCTTGATAATATTTTCAAATTAGATCGCGTAGATAGACATAAGAAAAAAAAAACATTAAAAATGAAAAACACACACCTAAGACCTGTTTGGTTTCCTGAATTCTATACGACAGTAATATTCAGTCTTCTGGACGATAATTACCTGGTACGCGCGAACAGTTGAATGTGAAATGCAGACCGTGGCGACGGATGGCAAGTGTCCAGAGCCCAGCAAAGATCCGGAAAACACGTCCCTGCACTACGTGTGTTCTGCAGTCGACGACAATAACTCGGCAGTCCGCAACAGAAATAATAATAATAAACGGTCATAAAAATATCTGACGTTTCTAAGGACTTTTCTTTATCAATCCGTTATCATTTATTGACATGGCACAGGTGTGGGGTACGCACTCCGACGTCCTACTCCTAAGACGGCTGACTAAGACCATGAACAGAACGACGTAGAGAATTTTTTTATAATTATACTTTTATTATTATTACTATTATTATTATTATTATTGTTATTATTATTACTACTATTTAACCATAGCAGCCGTCGTGCCGCGGTCGGTGCGTTTTGTTGGCTTGTCGACCACCGGTGTACACGATGGTTTTCAAATGCGCTCTTGGAACGCGGGAGGGAAAAATCGAAAGTAACGACAATAACGGCTAAATGGAAACGGTTCTCAGGAAACGACTAAAAGAAACATAAACGTCTGTGTGCTTAGATAAATAAAGCAATAATAATAATAGTCGGTGCGTGACGACGAACCAGTAAGATCCGACTCAGAGGTAACGTCGAGCAATGCCGAAACCAAACGAACGCGACGCTGACCGAATGAAGATGTGCGTAGACACGACACTGATCGTTTCGCGCGGTACGGAGCTACGAATGTATTTTTTATTTTTCATTTTTTATTTTATGCCCCCTCATACAACACGTCGTCAACGTCGTCCAACCGTAGCATGCCATCTATCATCGACCAACCGAACTACGTGTAGACGCGGCATGCGCGTCGTTCACTCGCCCGCTCGGCCACGATCGTCATTTTGGCGCGTTGCCAAACATGCTCGTCCGTCGTCCCATGTGACGCGATGAACGACGAACGAATTATGCATATAGAAAGGATCCGCGAAAAATTTGAAGCCCCGCACAGCCATTAGCTCTCTAGGAATAGAATCGTCATGGGGGCAGCAAAGGTCTGCGCGTACGAAATGTTTTCTTTTGGTTTTCGTTAGCACGTTCTCTGGTTAATGCGTTTCGATCCTTACAGATATCACGTAACATATATTCATTTCATTCTGTGAATCGTACTGCCGACATATCTAATGTTAAATTCTAACTCGCCCGGGCCCTTACTTGTCCACCGGAACACCGGGAGTTTTTTCTCGGTGCGCCTTTCTCCCCTTTCATTTTATATCATTATATTTATAATATATTTTATTAAATTGTAAGTACATTATATTTACTGTTTTATACATGTGTATTTTATTATACAAATTATATTTTTTATATTGTACGCATATGTATTAGGGGTAGATCTCCTTATTACACATGTTCTTTACAAAACGGTGTTGAAGTCCATGTAAATAAAATACACAGGTTACTGTATCGCTAGCATAAAATATCTTTGTGTTTGAGCCTTGCAGACTCATACGTAGAACATTTAAATGGTCAAATATGCCAGCCATTAGTCATCACAAAATAATTTGAACTTCTCTTCATCAATATCAGTTAGAAGTAATAAAACTTTTTTTTTATAAAGGGACATTTCCTTCATGTACCACCTATGAACTTTTATTTGAACTATACAAAAGTCCATTCTAAGGCATTTGATTAAAAAAAAAAATTAAAAAAACCACAAATATTAAGGACTCACCTGATTTAAATATTATCAAAATTTTAATTGTAAATTTTGAGCCTGAATTAAAGAAAAAATTTGAGTCGCCTCCCACCCCCCTAGAAGTAAGTCTAAATACGCTCCTGCGTACTTACAGATATATTTTATCAATTTTACGGGATAGCAATATTCAACATTTATGTGTATTTTAAATATTAACGGAGTAACGGAGAAAACGGAGCAACTCAACGATTATCTTCTTCCAGTGGTGTAGCTAGGATTTTCTGAAGGGGGGTGTGAATTATAATTATTAAATATTATATATAATAACAAACAAAAACTTTTATTTTAATTAATTAATATGTATACATAATGTCTGTAATAGAGATGTAATGTATATTCGAATTCGGATAGCTTCACCATAAATCATTCAAATATTTGACTATTCAAATATCAGTATTCGATGCTACAATACCTATTATTATTAAACGTTTTGTGTTGCACGAAAACGTAAACGAATAATTTTCGTCACGTATTGTCGCAATCGCGATAATGTTAACGATATATGTAATTAGTATTGTGCATTATTTTATATTTCATATTGTATTATCGATTTACCTATATTCCTATAATAATGTAATATATGATACGGCTCAAGAGGGGTGTCTATCTACCAAACACCTCCCTTGTATACGCCACTGTCTTCTTCAATTTCCAGCTGATTCATTTTGACTATTGTTAACCTTCCGTTGTCATCAGTGGATCACCCAGGCCCGTATTTAGGGGGTGACGGTTAGGCACATGCCCGAGGGCGTCAAGTCTCAGGGGCAGCAAAATATTTTAGCAAAATTAATTTTAAAAATGATGTACCTAATGAAAAAAAAAAAAATAGTATATTTAACTATGTTATAATTTGTAAATTAAAAAAAAAAGGAAATTGTATGATATATAATGTTATAATTTGTTTAATTTCTTAATTAAAAAAAGTATTAAACGATTTTCATTTATAAGTTATATTTTAATATTAAAGAATCTCGATTATGGACAAAATAATAAGTGTTATATTATTATTATTTATTTTTTTTCTTTTTGGTGGGGGGAAGGGCATAAATTATATGCCCGGGGGCGTCAAATTTTTAAATACAGACCTGAGATCACCGATGATAAAGTGGATAACCATTATTTCCACTAATAGTTTCTACCACTAATTGTCTTGGAGAGCGTTTTGAACCAACCATACACGAGAATTTGGTTTTAATATTCCACGTGGGTCATGAATCATATTTTTTGTAACAATTTCAAGTAACAATGGATCTTCATAATTATCGGGAATTATTGCAGATATCACATCGTCGATTTAATTCGGTCTTATTTATAATTATTAATGTATATCATATATATAAATTATTTTAAATTTATTTTTCATTAATAGAATAACTCTAACCGAAACATCTGTTTTAAACGATATTTAGTTTTTTTATATCCTCTTTAACGATATTTGCAGCACGCATCCTGTCAATTCTGTCGAACGTCTAAAAATTACATTGTATATGGTGGTTAAGTATTCTTAAATTTTCTAATTTTCCGCGCAATTTTCTTAATTTTTTCTTTCATGAGAACCTTCTTCTGACAATAACAAACAAAAAAAAAAAAAAAAGAATTAGCGAAATCGGTTCAGCCGTTCACGCGTGATGGCGTGACCAAAGGAAATAGGGATTCATTTATATATATAAATTATATAAAATAAATATAGATGAGAACTTTATTTTTGTTTACAGTACATGCGAACAAGTATAAGAAAAAAAAATGAGGCTATGAATAGGGTAAGAAAAAAAGGCACAACCAAAATACAAAAAATTTACAGAGGGAGACTATTTTTTTTACAAGAACTTAGGCGACCTTGTTCATCATTCTCAATCATTTTTTACATGCCATTGAAGGTGCAAATTCAGACGTGCCTAGAGGTGCAGAAATCCCAAGTTTGAATGGTACCTTGAACGGCACTGAGTACCACTATACAACTATTGTAACTATACAGTGCCGGATTAAACATTTATGGGCAATTAAAATGTTGGGCCCTACAAAATTATTTTTTACGTACATCTTTAACATTTCTATCCAATAATCAAAATAATCAGCTTTAATAATAACCAATAATTATTAATATATAAAGTCATGTTTATTAAATTTTTTTATTTGCAAGAAAAACTAATTAATTATCTATTATATTATTTCTATTTTTTTTTAAAATAATTTTATTATTATTACTGCATATACCATAACATCTACAACTTGATATATATTATATTTCATAATTACTTTTGTCCTTTTAATTCGTAAATAAAATACAGTTATTATTGAATAAAAAAAATATAGTTTTCTGTTTTCATAGGGCTCCTTAGAATGAGTGAGGCCCTAGAGCGGGTGCCTATTCCACTTAATGGGTAATCCGGCACTGTAACTATACCATCGAACTCAATTCACTTTAACCTAAAACTGTTCTATTACGCAAATCTACCTTAATACTTAACATGACATAATATCAAATGTATTATAATATATTAATTAATGCTATATCTATACATTTATGCAGTGATGTATTGCTAAAATAAATCATGGGTATATACCTAATTTCATGTAAAACTATCATGTGATAGGAACCAAAAAAACTCACTCATGAACTACACATCCTTATTTATGACTGATAACAGAAACATGTTGTTAAATGATAACAAATTTGAATTTTTCATAAAAAAAAAAAAAGAAAAATAATAATAATATATCCGACATCGAATCACGTCATATCTATAACCACAAGTTAGGTTAGTCAACGTATTATGTAATTATTTGTCAAATTACAAGCTATACGCTACATACGGCTGTATACCCGTGTATCATCAATTTCTCATAAGCTATACGCTATAGATAAGAATAGCATATTGGGTATACGCCATATACCCCCGTATACCATCCAATACAGCACTGCGTTTATGTAATTTTACCAGCTTTTTCCAAATTGTATTATTTTTCATAAACATTTTAAGTTTTGCAAATTATTTGCATTTTATAAGTTTTAATTTTTTGATTTCAAGTTAAAAAATCATTTCTACTTATAATCGGTTTTTAAGTACATCAAAGTGTTTAATTTTAGGCCCTTAAACAAATGGTAGCTTATAACATTAACATAATGACATTATACAACATACGAGTAATAACATTGACCTATTTCATCCATGAAATTAATTAAACTTTTTAATATTATTTTACAATATATAAACATTAAATTATATAATAACTGATATCTAATAATGGAAAAGAAAAATTTAATTCATCTCAATAGTTCTTTGAATTAAGAATAAGTAAAACTAAGAATAATTGTAAACTAAAGCTATTTTAGAAATTAAAACTGAAAAATTAAAATATATAACATTTATTGGTAGGCTTTTTGCCATTATTAAATTGAAAAAATGCAATTTGATTTGTTTTCAATCGAGGGCTTTAATTGGTGCCAATGTTGTTGATCATTCTATAATCTTTATGCGATGTTTTTTGTAGTTGTTACGGAATAATATACGAAAATACAAAAAATTTACGTTAGCCGTTAGATTTAGTTTAAAAATCGTAGTATTATAATGATATAACAAAAATAAATAATAGTTTATTAATAATAGTTAAAAATAAATGTTTAATACGTGGAGGAGACTGCAGTATTTTATATAACAGGGATGGGCAACTTAAAATAACTAGAAGGCCAATTTTTAGAAAATTAAAATCCAGCGGGCTAAAGCATAGGAAAAAAAAAGTCATTCAAAATATGAATTTTAATTAGCATTTATATACACTGAAATAATAAATTAAACACACACGATAGCACGACATGAATGATACGAAGAAACTGATATAGTTAAATAGTTCGGTACAAACAGCTATGTTTGAAAGCTAAACATGGTGTTTCTGGAAAGGATGAGGACACTAGTGTACGTGTACTCGCTGTGATGACCCAAAGTAGATTTTTTTTCAATCTCCAAAATCTTGGTTTATTTAATTTGTTTTTAGGATAATAATATTATATAAAATAAAATTGTTATGGCTTGAATTTAAAAATCAACACTTTAGTTGTATTTTTTGTAAAATTCTCATACAAATCGACACGTCACACTGTTTTTGGGCTTGTTTCGCATTTTTCATGCTCAAGTCACTGACTAAAAAAAAGTCGTGTGACACATCGATTTGTATGAGAACACTTCAGGATAAACAGTGGTGATAGTAGTTTATTGTCAGTTAACACATATAAGTAATTAAAACAGCTTTAACATAGTAAAAAATTCATAATTAAATACATTTTAATTTATAAAATTGTTCAATGTGATCCCCGTTAACTTCTATGCACTTTTCCACACGACGATGTAATGAACTCCAAGTTTTTTCTAATACATTTGGTGTTTGACGAATTATATCAACTACATTATTAATTCTCATCAAAAGTTCATTTCTGTTATTTACTTTTTTGGCATAAACTTGTTCTATCATAAAACTCCATAAGAAAAAGTCACATGAGTTAAAATCAGTACTGCGTGGTGGCCATGTTATGTCTGGGCTATATTAAGCATTGGTTACAGCTCTTCTACCTAAAAGTTTGTCAGGGAAAAGATAATACGATTGCTGTCGGACTGCATTTGTATAATGAGGAGGTGTACCATCTAACATACACCACATTGATTCTTTTTCTTCCAATGGTACGTTCTCTAATAGTACCGGAAGATCATACATAATAAAATGTAAAAATCCCTGACCGTTCAAATAAATTTGTTTCAAAAGTTACAGATTTTAAATTAATTACTGACAAAGCCTACATTATACGCAGTTTATGAAGGCTCAAGAATAGTATTAAATAGTATTTAAAATCTATTATTTTTTTTAATTGTAACATAAAAAAAATATAAAATATCTATAAAAAAATGAACGGATAATTCATGTTATTTTAAAAATTATTTATGATTTTTTTAAGTGCATAATTTTAGATATTTAGTGCATATAAATGCATAAATGCATGCTTATTTAGGCCATTTTTAGGGCATGAACTTACGAACCCTGTTGATAAGATAGAGTATAGACGATAACTTTAAAATTGTATGATGTAATTTAAAAATATACCACGGGCCAGATAAAAAAGGCTCGTGAGCCGCCAGTTGCCTACCCTTGTTATATAACATCTAAAACATTCCTTCCACCAGTAATAATACATATAAAAAAAACAAAATTAAGAAATCAATAAATTTGTCAGTGTGGTGGAAATTTAAAATAATTATAAATTTTACTAAAGTGAAACTATCGCATTCGCTTATAAATTAGTAAGTCATATTATACCGTAAAATATAAATGAAACTCATTCATTATTGCAGTATAATTTTATCGACTTGTAAAGTGTATGTTGGCAACATCAATCTAGATACACGATAACAAGTAAAAAATAATTTAAAAAAAAGGTACACTTTATACTGCCAATATACATATTTTAATACACGTATACCAAATAATTTAATAAAACATAGAATAAAATGCATTTCATGTACAAATAATTAGATTGGTATTGTGTGCTTTAATTTTTATCATCATATGTCATATAAATAAGTAAAGTATGAATATGATGCAATTTAAAAATATTTATATCATACAACGTTTATTATTAAGTCATAAAAAAAAAGATGTATTTATGAGGCTTTCTTTTAATCATTTATTTTATAATTTATTTTATCGTTATATGAAATCATTGATTATAGATTTATTTGGAATTAAAGTACCTACTTATAAAATGTATATGTTATACACCGTATATCAGCGCTTCTCAACCTTTACAATGTCATGATCCTTAAAATAGGTAAAAAATAAAATCAGTCAGTATATATATGTAAGATAATTACTTAAAATAACTATTAGTATAAAAATTAATATAATTAAGTTAAGTATAGATATATAATATCTACGGGGTAATTAATGTTATAAATTATAACATAAAATAGAGAAACACGATATTATATAATTTGTAGAAATTAAGCATCAATAGGATAAATGCTTGATGTTTATTTGATCATAAATAAATATGGTTGTATTGAGTACAATCAGCAATTATCAATAGATAAATATATTTGTTTTTAAAAACCAGTAGTCCCTAATCTAATTAATTTATATTTGTTGACCAGAAAAGTACATAAAATATATTATAAAAGATAGTTGACTTTATAAGTAGATATAATATATTCTATCCTTTCTTTAATTTTTAAACCATATCAAATTTCCGACGCAGTACAACTCAGTTTTCAATTTTTGCATTTTTTATGTCATATTTAACAATTTTTTTACGCTACTAATATTTCATAATCAAAAATCTCCCATTCTTCAAGTCAAGTTACTTTCATGTCCTAGTGCACTAGCAAAATAACTAAAGATTTCTTTTCCTTTTTTTTTACGGTAGTATAGTCGAAGATTTCCATTGATACATCGCTAACACAGCTATAGAAAATTCTGATATAGACTAAGATTTTTCAGTTTTTAGTCAATTGACATTTCATGTAAAGTTTCAAGACTTTTAAGTGCTCTTATAAATTCAAAAACTTCTTCAGGATTATCTTCTATAGTAATTTCTACTTATTCACAATACATAATTTCTTCATTAATATTATTTAAAAATTTTGAACAAAGGTGAGTAAATAATTTCAAAATATTTTTAATATTGTAGAAAATATTTCACCAATGCATTCTTATGTTAAAGTACATCATATTTCATCTTCATTTAGGAAATTAATTCTAATATATGTTGAGAAGGATTAAGTATTGAAATTATAAAATAATTCTTCCATTTTCTTCTTTTTTAATTGGATTAATCTTCAGAATAATTTTTTGGATAATCATTATATTCACAAGCAAAACTTACTATTCTAATCAATTCATCCTTGTGGGTCACGTGAATAATTTTTAGTTTTGATGAATAAAAACTTAACTTCTAGAGTAATACACACAATGATTTTCATACATATTGAATATCATAAGAGATTTGGAAATATCACACGAAAACTTAAATTTTTAGAAAAATAATCTGTTTTAAACGTTTCCGAAATAGTACGAATAACGATGGATTTATACTTAACAATATCTTTACAATATATAACATTTATATATTTATTGTGAAACACAGGTCACATGTACAGCATAATTAAACGTATTAATTCGATGTGAAACACAATATAGGAGCAATCTATTGTTAAATCTTATTCGGAATTCGCCGTGGAATTTTATCCATTAAATCGAATACACACTGTCGTCGAGTCACATAAATGATCTCGTTGTTTTAACTCAATAAAGACACCGAGACACATACATATATATAAAGGTAACTTACACTTGACAGACACACGAGGTCATCCAGGGTACCGTTATCACTGCGTACACAGCGTCGCACAGTGGCCAGGTCGTTATTTCCTTATCAGGAGCCCGAATGTGTGCGGTCTTTTATTCCAATAGTCTCGTCATTCACCAATTGGATATTGGACAAAATGTTGTGAGTTCCACGCGGTTAATTTATATTACGCTACAGTATTTTTTCTTTTTTTTCGCGTTTTCGTTTTCTTTTGTGTAAACATTACGCGAAACATTGCTAATTCTAATGAATCAAAAATCATTTTCTTCCCAAAAACATGTATCGACGCCGTAAGTTTTATGCATATTATTATGTATACAGTGTACATAGGTGTAATGTATTTGGGTAACAATTATACTTTTGGATAATATAATTTTGATTTATGCGAAACGGTGAACAATTGTATTGACAATAATAGTATAAACACGAATCGTAATGACAATCTCATTACTCGGAAGTAAATTGTAATTACTTAATACGCCGTAAGTATAATACGATTATTTGTTTTTTTTTCTTAAAAAGCTTTTTCGAAGTGACCGCACTTTCCGAACTCTTTTAGACGTCGGTCGAAGAGTGCGCGTCGCAAATAAAACACCGCTTGTCTAAAACGAACGAATACACAATAAAATCTAGTGGGTAGGTACACAATACCATTTACAAATAATACACAAATCGGTTTTGAACTGTGTATTCGTAGGTAGAGGTAACATAGGTGTGGTTTTAGTACTAATAACCGTACAAAAACGGAGATACATCAATGGTTAGGGGAATGCATCGTGTTCGTTTTTGGAGCGAAAACGTTCTATAGACGTTCCGCGAATATATAATAGCGAGGCGACGAGTCCGTAACTTTTCCCCTCGCGTGTCATTTGTGATGGATACCTACGTCGAATGATAATCGTTCGTAGTGAGGTTTTGAAAAGCTTTGAAAATTATTTTCATTGCGTATTTTTGTTGAACGGTTTCGGTTCTCTTCTCCGTAAAGGACTTCTTGACGCATTAAAAACTCGTCGGATGCCGTTTTGAAATTAATTTCTCGTCGAGTAGAGGTGTGTGAGTGCCATCCAGCGGAAGGAAAATAATCGATACGCTCTGGCGTCGGCCATGTTTCTATTGTTGCGTCCTGCGCCTGACTAACCTTTAACGACCAACAGCTGGGCTCACATTTCTTACTATTTCATTTCAGCGTTACGATCACAGTAGAACGCTAGTTATAATTTTATCTCAAGGTTATTAATCATTCCAGTCCTGTCAAAAGAGATATTTTGTAAGTATTCATACATTCATGCATATTATTTATAATATAAAAAAATAATATTTAATTTTAATGAAAAGCGTTACAATTATATTAGATAATAAATAATGTGTAGACACTTTAGCACACGACAAATTGTAAATAATACACTATTTCGTTATAATAATAAAAACTTGGTCAGACCAATCATGAATATTTTGTGTCCATTTGAAGCAGAACTTATAGTTTATTTGAATTTATCCGAACTATTTTCACAAATAGTTAATAAAAAACGTATATTTCAACATTATAAAATACATTTGAATATTTGAATTTGATTTCATTAAAATAACTATTCTATACTAACATTTATTTTAAAAAGTTACGGCCTGTGATCGAGATATTGTACTTAATTTTTAATCATCTATGCATTTTTTTTCATTACTTTTAAAATTATTCATACAATTAAATACGTTGTTAAATATACTTCTGTGCTCAATGAAATAATTTTACAAATATTCAATAATTCCTCTGTAAACAAAACCAATAAATATGTATGATAAACAGACAGAATCCTAATGTAAGCAATTAATAATTACATTTTTATTTTATTTTTTAATAGCTTTAGTATTAAATTTACTAGAAAAGTATTTGAATGAAACCTAATAATTATATTTTGATTAAAATACAGTATAATAATAAATATAGAAGGTTATTAAACTAGACATCGAAAACATAATATAGAATAATGTAGAATATACATAATATAGTAAATAGGAAATATACAACGAATGACTGGTTAAAATTATTATTTCTGTCACCTAAAGATTATTTTATTCCATATTTATTCAAATCGTATTTATCAAAAAATGAAGAAGTGCATAGGTATCCAATATAGATTTGACGAACGACTCGATTGATTTATAAGTTAAGCGATTTGAATAATGCACTTGGCTCCAACAAGTCTATATGTCTTTTTTAATTTCTGACCACCACGCAAGACTAGTGTAATAAAGTGCAGCCTTTGTGGCGCCAAAAATGGTCACACCGACCCAATCAATATTGTCGGCAGGATGGAGTAAATTAATAAGTCCCGTCTTGAAATTTTACGCCCTCCCACAACTTATTTTTGGATTATCATAATTTAAGAAATTTTTTTTCGCATATAATATTTATTTTAAATTCATACTAGATTTATTGTTAAATTTTATTTATATAATACATTTCATCGAATTATATCAAACCTGATAAAAAAAAATCGACCCTTTAACAAAATAAAGTAAATTACATATCTTTATTTTTATCATTAAAATTCAATAAGCGTTCATAACTTTTGCAAAAGTCAGTTGAAATATGAGTTGTAAATTGTGTATTATATTTCGAGTTTTATATTATACATTCGTTCGACGTTCAAATCCACCCTAAATATCATCTTATTATGTAATGCATGCACTTTGATTATACTAATATATAATATATTAATCTTACCATTGTGATTTGCCACTTTATTTAAAATTCGATACGTACATATATTATACGACACGATAAATATTTTATTTCCTATACAAAATTAATATATTATTATTAATTTACTATTCCTGTATTAAAATTCAATGTGTTGATCAAACATCCATACGCGTAAATGTTTTCCTATACTAACTAATTGGATTTTAATACTAGTACTTTACTTCGTATTCAACTCGTTTGTAAACAATTATCTAAAGTAATCTAGATGCTACATTTGATTAATTACTTTTGTTGTGCTAATTATGCATGTATATACTTATTTATTATTCAGGGTGCATAATTTGAGGTCAGAACACATATGGTATGTTGTGTGGAGAAATAATTAGATCTCCAAATCGAAGTCCGTACGCTACATTATTGTCGTCTCTATATCCAATGATGACTGCTGCTGTTGTTGAAGACGACAATTTATTAGGTGATCAATTTTTATTTTCAAACTATTATTTCATTATTCTACTATGCATTTTTATTTGAAAAATTAACTTTTTATTTATATAATTATATGTCTATCAAAAAATAAATTCAAAATGCATGTTTAGTATACGTCTTAATGATTATTATAACTACAATTCATAACAAATCATATAATTTTGTTATATTTTTTAACCGGGTAGTTAGGTATGACTAATTATTCTTTAGTTATACCCAACTATAATTCTTTATTATTTTTTAGATTTTTTTAAAAAAATTTAAAAATTATTTAGATAAAATTGTTTTATTTTTTTATCAAAAATGTATCATTTTCTAATAAATTAGATTTTTACTTTTTCTTACTGATTTCTCATTAATTTACATAAGTATATTGTATTGATATAATAAAATTAATTCCGTGTATAATTATATATACATATATTTATATATATACATATATATTTAGCTTCATATATAATAATTTGTTTTTTCTTAGTCTGTATATTATTATTCATCCGGGAGTACTCCGATTATCGATTTTTATATTCGAGCGTTTATGAGTCATCGCGTATATACATATTAGTGGCGGCGAATAGGTTTTGTTTACTACGCGCATGATTGTACTACTCATCGTACTATAGGTACTCTACGTTTTATTTATTTAGACATTTATACAATATACCTACTATTATAGAAAAGTTTTCAATATTTTTATCAATTGGCCATTGTCAAATGCGGGTATGTATTTTTGGTTTTATAATATTTAATATATTACAATTAGAATGGCGATTTAATTTTAAAGAATTTATTATTTATATAAAACACTTAAAAATTAACTGTTAAATTTTAAATACACTCTATAAATTTTATAATAATTTCTAATATTATTTAAATTTTATAAAAAAATGTTTTATGAATATTTACGTAAATATATTTTTGTAAATATTATTTATTATGTATACAACATGAAAAGCTGTATACTTATATCTAGTTCGATACAAATAATTTCATGATTAATAATTAATATCACCTATTAATCAATATAAACGTATTCGATAATTTTGCATTCAAACTAAAAAATACCATTGAGCGTAAGCAACTATTTTTTTTATAGAAAACGGTCGTTTGAGTTACGAAAATCCTAACTATCATCTTGCTGGAACGGGACATTTGGCTTTGGACGATGCATTGAACTCAAACTTAACATCAACTACTGATTCTCCAGCTGGTTTCAATTTAAATGGTGACTGCATACTGTATTCGGAACTTTTGTGTCGGGAATTTGATACGGTATGCAATATCAATACGGAAAATATAAACAGAAAACGTTACAAATCATTGGATTTGGGATCAATGGGCGTGGATGTGTTGGGACAAACGGGAAAAACTTGGTAATTATATCACCAATTTATTATATAAATTATATTTTGTAAAAAAAACTAATTACTCTTATTCTAAAACTATTTTTGTTATTATTTTTAAGGAATACAAATTTAAATTGTAACGTAACAAGAGATATGAATATTAAAAATCAACACGATTTAACTAATATCAACAATCAAAATCACCAAATGCAAGTGTCATACGTAAAACCGGATTTAATTGAAGAATCGGAACAAACAAAGTGCAAAGTGGGGAAGTAGGTTTTTTAATTTATCGTGGTATTTATTATATTTTCAAATAATTATTTAAAATTCTTATTGTATTATATAGTATAAACGAAAAACGTACACCACCAAATACTCTTTCATTGATCAAGCAAAAAGATACATCCAATATCAATAAGGAAATACAACATATACAAGGTGATTTAAATAATGACTTGTATGCAGTTCCAATGAAAAACAATGCACATGAATTCATGGATGAATTGCCAGCTGGGTGGGAAAAGCATGAAGGTACAAATAATTTTAAATCTTCTTTTTACTCAATATTACTGGATTAATTTAATTTTAGACAATGACGGTCCTTATTATTGGCATATTAAGAGCGGAACAATTCAAAGAGAACCTCCTGAATACAGTGGCAAAAATGAGCCTAAAACACCATTGGTCAAAGATGCAGAATCGGTAAAAATAATTATTAATTATTTTTTTGTTTAATATGTAGGCAAATAATTTAGTTTTTAAAATATATAAAATATTAACATATATTATTATATTTGAATAATATAATTCAATAAAACTTTAAATAGCAAATAATTTATATTAATTCTGTTTTTTAATAGATGATTTTTACACTAATTTATTGTTATACCTATAGACATTTTCTTTTTTAACTTCATTGTATAATAAAATAATTTAAAACAATCTGCATTCTCTTATAGTATTTATAAATTATCTTTGTATTTACCATACCTAATTAAAATTAAAATTTTTCGTTTACGTTCTATTTTTAAATAATAATATACACGCAAATATGTACTTAGCTTTACTTATTAATACAATACTTCTTATTGATAATATTATTCCTGATTATTATTATATTTAGACATAAATTAAAAATAAACAACTTATACTTAAATTACATTTCATAAATTGTAATTCAAGGTATTGAACAGTTTTCAAAATAACACAGGAAGTTTGGTTAGTTCAGTAACTAGAAGTACGACAAGTTCAGCTCTTGAAAATTTGTGTTACCAGAAGAGTCGAAAAGAAGAAATGGCTTACAAGTAATATTCGATGAAATTGTGCATATAAAGAAGAATGTGGTCAGTTATCTAAGACGTGATATTTTTCAGACGAAGAAGTTATCCAGCTCGAATTGAAAACGAAAACAAAGGTATACGGTTTGCTGTGCGTTCTTTGGGATGGGTAGAAATTTGTGAAGACGATTTAACTCCAGAAAGAAGTAGCAAAGCTGTCAACAAGTGTATTGTTGATCTATCACTTGGTCGTAACGACTTTATTGATAATGTCGGCCGATGGGGAGATGTAAGTATATATACTTATAATCAGTGATATATTTTCAGAGGGGATATGCGGAAGATAGACCATGCACGAAAGACGACATTTTAGAATGGGTCGTGTACAGGATTTACTTAAGTGGGGAGGGAAATTAAGGGAAAAAGGAATATGAAATATACAGATAAAATGTTTGCAGCAGTAGGTATTTAATAGCAGATTTATTGATTTGTTGTAGTAATATTTAGACATAATTAATTAAAATATTCAATACGTTCCTGTTATTCAAGACAACCTCCGTTATCGCAACTACTTCAATCTAATCGATATTCATGCAACGAAATTTAAAATTATCTATCAATACGTATATTATTAGTTTTTGTAACGTTGTGTTTCGGTAAATTGTTGAGATAGACAAAAGTTTATTTTCCAAACGAAAAAGTTATACTGATTGAATACTTTTGCGACAATAAATTTTTGGAGGAATATGTCATGAAACTAAAAACAGTTTTTTGATCCAGGTTTTTGATTGAACCATGTCTACTTTCCACAATACAATATTTTACAATATAAAAAAAGGAACAATAAATTATTCAGATTGTTAGAGGACATACAACTCTAGCAAACTTGAAAAAACTAGTTTTAAACATTTGACTGTAAACCGTAACAAAAACTTTGTAAACCCTCAATTTAAATCACCTATTCAAAATATAGAATGTCCGTGGGGTTCAGTAAAATGTTAAAACAAGAAATATTATGGCACAATGCGTCATAGTTTAAAATCATATATAACTGAATTCATGTGGCGACAAAATGTAAAATAATGTAAATTCACTGACATTTTAAAAACAATCAATATCCAATTTCCTCCAATAAATAATTACGAAGTCTTACTAGTCAATGCATGTTTACCAAAAAAATATTTAATTTCTGTATAAATTTAATTTTTTTTTCAATTATTAGGTACTATTTTATTTTTTGGAATTACCTACCGATTTCGTTTGAGTTGTAGCCGAGTGTCGACGACGATAATATTTTTTGTATAACAATTTAATTATTTTAAACTTCAGTCGTCAGTGATCGTACACAAAACATATACTATATATATTAAAAAAAAAATCACAAAAATATACATATAATAATATTTATTAATATACATAAAAATATGGTAGTCCTATTAGAAAGTAGGCAAATTTTGGTAGGTAGTTTTAGATATCAAGTTTGTGATATTTCACAAAACAAATTAGTCTCGTATAATAGGAAAATAACAATAGTTCTTACTCGATTAATTTAATTGTACTATCTAAAATAAACTTACACGACGATCTAAAGAAAAAATAGGTAGTGGTAAGTTGCGCACGGACCGGGTTGTAGATCCGTGCAGCACGTTTGGGCATCTTTACCCGTTTAGTATTCAAAATCCACACAACATTAGGGCACTCTATATCCCTAAAAAGATACCACGTTTGGGCACTAAAATGTAAAATGTATATACCTTTGTTTAACAAGTATATAAAATATGTACATAAATGCATAATATATATGTACAAATATACATATATATCAAAATAATATAGGTAACAAGTTTTAAAAAGTGTAAGTCACTATTTATGTTGTAAAATAATCAAAATAATATAAGTACAAATAAAATAAATAATAATGTAGCTACAAAATGTTATAAAATACGTAAATTATTTATACTCGTGCTAAATAAAAATAATAATATAAAAATATTATTTTAATCAAAATAATTAAGTTATCAAGTTTTATCAAAAAAATAAAAAAAAAAATATATTATGTAATTATAATATTTCTAATTTTTACATTATATATATATATATATATGTGTGTGTATTTATGTATTTTATTATATTATTTATAATATTTCCTTGATAAAAAATTCCCATAATTTTTAAGTATTCAATTAGTGTTATGTCTCCTTTGTCATAAGCATTACAATTATCAATCAAAAATTTCCTTTTAAGTTTAGCCTCTTTTCTAGTGTGATTGAATTGATTTTTCTTATAGTATTTATTTTTAATGCAGTTTCTGCCTGAATGTTAGAACGTTTGGTTTAGTAAACACATCATCAATGACCTTTCGTTTAAGTGTAGGCATTAAATTATATCGATTTAAAATATTTTCAGAAATGCCGGATAATTGTGATCATTTTTTTGTGAAATTATTAAATCAAGTTTCTTAACAATGATTGCTGTTACGTTACATTTACGATTTGTACATCTGAAGTGCAAAGTTCGGTTCTTCAATTGTTTATTTTCACTTAGATTATATCCCTGTATCAGAACGTATCGTCTTCCTCGTTTTGTTACAAATATATCATCTATGAAGTTCATGGTAAGAATATTTACTTTAGCACTACACACTCGACAAGCGACTACAGACTGATTGTCTGATATGGACTTATGGTGAAATAAATATGGTAATAGTACCTATTGCATTTTGTTACACTATTTATACAACTTTGGAAATTACAGATAAATAGATTTTCGATAACGTCTATGATTACGCATTTTATCGCTTTCTACTATAATATTTATCATCATAGGAGTCCCGAATGTGATTATTGTTATCGTGCTCGTGTAATAGACTACGGTAGTGACCGCTCTGCATTTTTTTTTTTACTTAGCTTCGCGCCACTTCCGTCGCGCTGAATTAAAGGTATATACAGATATACTTACCTACAGTGGCGCACACAGGATTTTTTTGGGGGGGGGGGGGGGTCAAGGTAAAAATATAACACATTTTACAATTAACAAAATTATCCTTAATATATTTTGACTTAAATAATAGACTATTCTATAATCAATGATACTAGGTATTCAATACTAGCTCTTCATATTTCTAACTTGTAAAATTTGTAAATTTTAACCTAGACATCGGAGAAAATTTCGGGGGGGGGGTTACAACCCCTTAACCCCCCCTTGCGTGCGCCACTGCTTGCCTATATATATTACCTATATTATTTTGATGTATATGTATATTTGAATATACATATATTATGCATGTATGTACATATTTTATATACTTTTAAGTAAAGGTATATAAAATCGTATATGAATAGTATATATCGGTATATATTAAAGGTATATGACCAATCGTGGTATCTTTTTAGGGATATAGAGTGCCCAAACGTATTGTAGCCGTCTAACTCTTTAGGTTGGGTATTTCATGTAGAATCTTGTAGATAATTACTAATTATCTAAAAACTACGATTAATAACACATTCGTTTAAAGTTTTAATTTTTATGAAATACTTATACTTACTAACATACAGTGGCGAAAATTGGATCCAATATCTGGTGGTGCTGAGGCATATTCTCAACCTAAAATTTCCAACACACCAATTTTCCAATTTCCTAAGTAAAATTCTTCCCAATAAACTATATATTTTCCCATATATTTCTTTAAATAACAAATACATTTTGAATTATTGTAGCATTAAAATCTTTATTATTATAATATTAATAAAAAAAACAATAAAATTTTGTTTTTAGTAGGTATGCTGATTTCCTTGGCTCTTGAAAATAATATTGTATGTATACAAAGTTCAATGATTTTCTGGTTGTGCAACAACATATCTTTGCACCACCACATTTTAGATGTGGTGTTGCAAGTGCTACATTTGTACCACCCAGTTTACGCCACTGCTTATACATTAATAATACTTATCATTATATAATAAATTATTTCGAAAGTACTAAAATTATAACCAATACACGTTTGATAATTTGATATTCTATAGGTACATATAACAATAAAAAAGGAAAATTTGGATCAGTCCATCAAAAAAGACTGACAGTCTCTATAAATTTGTTAATACTTTTAGGATTTCAATCATATTGAAGAAATCCGAAATGAATTACTTATTATTACGAATAATTTAAGAAGATATTGAAATAATAATAAGATATTTATGGATAATGTATTGGTATATACTTAAATATATTTCATTATTACGCTTTTAGGGAAAAGATCTTTTCATGGATTTGGATGAAGGTGCATTGAAATTAATAGATCCAGAGAATCTCACAGTCTTAAACACACAGCCTATACACACAATTAGAGTTTGGGGAGTTGGGAGAGACAATGGCAGGTTTGTATAGTCTTTAATATCATTTATATATTGTTATTTTTTATTAATAATATATTATTGTTTAACAATTTAATGTTGTCATTTTTTTCTCAATGCTTTCATTATTATACAGAGAGAGGTAACGTATATATACAATTATATAATATATATATATATACTCTTAAATAATAGATTTCTTCTACAAGTTTATAAAAAAAAATCACGCTTGACTGTCGACACTGTAGTCATTACGTAAATCAAATCAAACTTAAGTATTTTCATTTTTAAAATAAATATTTTTCAGGGACTTCGCGTATGTAGCTCGTGATAGAATAACACGCCGACACATGTGTCACGTCTTCAGATGTGACATGCCAGCTCGTACGATAGCTAACACTCTAAGAGACATTTGTAAGAAAATCATGATTGAACGCAGCCTTCAGCAGAACATTTCACGTTCAACTGATATAAGTATTAACAATATCTCATGTTAGGATTGAATTGTGAGTTATTCTAATGGCTTATGTAATTTTTTAGATACTGCAACGAAAATGAACGTACCAGTAAGACCAACAAATCTTCCATTGGAGTACCGTAAGCGTAGGAGTTACAGAGGTAGCTACTCTGCAACTACCAATCTGGGTATATACAATAAATTGTTAATAGTAATTTTACAAATTTCTAACATCATTCAATTGTATAATATTATTTATATAGTTCAACCATTTCCTACACCAATGGAGGAACCACGTAAAGTTATTCGGGCCACTTATTTGGGTTCAATAGAAGTATCTAAGGCGTCGGGAATGGATGTACTTAATGATGCGATTGTAGCTTTGGAAAATTCACCTACATCAGTACCCCAAACCGTTACAGTAGCAGTAGCGCCTTCAATGATTACCATTCAACAGGATACAGTAATTTATATATTAAAAAATTTAAGGAGTTGGATTTATAAATAATATGCTGATTTCAGGAAGAAGGAGATCAAATGGTAGAGTGCCGAGTTAGATATTTATCATTTTTGGGAATAGGTAAAAATGTAAAACAATGTGCTTTTATTATGCACACCACCCAAGATCTTTTCATTGCACACGTGTTTGAGTGTGATCCGTCTGCCGGAACACTTTGTAAAACTATTGAAGCTGCATGTAAAGTATGTCAGTTGAAAGTTCTAAAATTTTAAATAATTATTAAATTGATATTTTTTAAATTTATTTATAGTTAAGATACCAAAAATGTTTAGATGCACATCCACAAGGTTTGAATCCAAATGTGACTCTAAGTCATAATATTAATAGTCCGAATGTAAATGGAATATCAAGGAAAGGTATTAGTTCTACATTGAAGTCGTTAGTGGGTACCATCACAGGACGTAAAATGAAATTAACTCAATCCTGAGAAGAAGTTTTCACGCTACAGGTAACATAAATAAAGGCATTAATAACCAATATGTATACGTAATTTTTTTTTTATTCCATGCAGGAAGAATTAACAAATTCTGAAGTGCGTGAAGTTATACCACATCGACATTTGCAGTCACCTCATACTATAAAATATTATGCCCTTTCTACTAGTTTACAGTCATTGTTATCACCAACCATTGATAACCGGACCATAAACGACCCTTACTAATTATTCATAAAGACACTAAATTGTGACTTATAGTCATTTAGGGAAGAAAAGCATATGAAGTAACTTAGTTTACTAATTTTAAGATACCACTTATTTGAATAGATATAGAATATTATAGAAAATAATCCTTAAATATATTTCAATAATGGACTGATCTGCTTGTCCTTGAAAGCTGTATACTATTAAATTATCATAAAAAAATGTATACTTACAAATATTGAAATTTATACATAAACAAATATATAGAAGTTAGGCATTTAAATGTTGCTAAAATTGATAATATAAAAAACTTATTTAACTCAAACCAAAACTGGTTTACTTTAATCATTAGAAAATAAACATGACAATAACCTGAAGTTTTACAAGCATTTAGACAGATATTTTTTAAAAAAAAGCACTTTTTATTTATTTTAAATGCTCTCCACATATCAAGCTTAACTTTTTGTATTTCTTTTGACTGACCATTATTTTTTTCTAATTATAAATCATTAAATCATATTTCTGTATAAATAAAATTCCTATTATTGAGTGATCTCAACATATTTGGTATTTGTAAATCTACAAAGCTTGTTAAAAACCAATTATAATTTAGGGAATATGCACACCTATTTTGATGTTGTGAAGTATAGAGCTAAGCTTAATAATTGTTAAAAAAAATAAATGAAAATATTTATAAGTTTACTTTAATTGTATATTTATTCAATAAGACAGTCTTCGTTTTTTTCTTATTTTCCAACCATGGTTTACACTGCCTAAACCAATTTATAAAAGTATAAGTTTTTTTAATGTATTTTATAACATAATAATCAGATAGTTTCAAAATGTTTAGTTAAAAAATAAAATTGAATTATAAAAATAAAGCCTTAACTTTTCTACCAACGACTTGGCGATCAAAGAGTGCATTGAACTTGTTACAGTAATTGTTAACTTCATTACTACATTTTGTTAACACTCCTAAGTAAGCAATAAGTGCAACGTCATTACAATGTGTATACAATTCCCTGTAGAACTCTCCAGATTCCATTACTGGCAGTCGGTGACATAAAGAAACAAATTCCCTAGAAAATAGAAATAAGTTAAACATAATATATTTTTGATTTATCAATTAAGTCTTAGCTTCATTTATTAACTTGTTATTGGATACATTGAAGAATTGTTTTATTATGCTAATATTTCAGGTAATTATTATAGTTTTATAACAAATACTAAATAAAACAAGATTTTGTTTAATATATATTATGTGTTTTAAATATAATAATTAACTATGTCATTATAAATTCACTCATCAAGAATTATATTAATAATATGTAGTTTATGTAGTTATGTAGTTACCTTATGTAGTTTCATTCAATGAATGAATAATGCAATTCATTATCATGGTATGTAAATCCAAGAATTAAATATATATCATATGCATTAAAATTTGATGCTTTAATACATAAAGTGCAAGCCAGTGCTCGACTTGAGGGGGGATGCATTATGATGTTATAATTATAACGCTTAACAAGTTTTGGGGACACAGTTTTTTTAAGTAAACAGAGAACCCCTTCTTTAATTTTACCAAGTCGAGCACTGGTACGAGCTGAAATATGGTAAGAAAAAATATATATACAGTGTGATCATGATAAGTGCAAACACTCAATAAGTATGTGCAAGCTTTATATATTTCAATTCTGATTTTTTGGCTAACTAATAAACATTATTATACATATTTTCAAATAATTAGACTATTTTTGTAACAGTTAATTTTGCGCATATGCACAATAACTTTTTCTTAAATGGCAACCACATATTTTAACCACTAATCATTTTTTGTCTAATTTTTGGTAGCCTAATCAACTTTCTGAATCCAATATTGACCATGGATTTTCAGTATTTTTGCTGTAATTCTGAAAATAATTATTTTAGATTTATTCAATTTGACATTTTTACCTGTATTTATTAAGGTGAGATTTACACGTTATTTTAATTTAACTACTGTTGATTTTAAATTGAATTTGTGTAAGAATTATAACTTATAGCATAAAAACCATAAATATGTATATTATTTATTTCGCTATATTAAATGAATTTAACATAGTTTTGGACAACTATTTGAAAAACTTATACATTAAATTATTTAATATTTAAATTAACTTATAACTCAATTAAGAATTAAATTTGTAATTAATTTTTAGATTTTATTCATTCTAATAGATCCATTTATTGTACCAAAATAAATAACACTTATTTATGGTTTTTATGCTATAAGTTATAATTCTTTCACAAATTAAGTTTAAAATCAACATTAGTTAAATTAAAATAACATGTAAATCTCACCTTAATAAATACAGGTAAAAATGTCAAGTTGAATAAATCTAAAACAATTATTTTCAGAATTACAGCAAAAATACTGAAAATCCATGGTCAATATTGGATTCAGAAAGTTGATTAGGCTACCAAAAATTAGACAAAAAATGATTAGTGGTTAAAATATGTGGTTGCCATTTAAGAAAAAGTTATTGTGCATATGCGCAAAATTAACTGTTACAAAAATAGTCTAATTATTTGAAAATATGTATAATAATGTTTATTAGTTAGCCAAAAAATCAGAATTGAAATATATAAAGCCTGCACATACTTATTGAGTGTTTGCACTTATCATGATCACACTGTATATATATATTTTTTTTTTCATAATATAATTTCATATAATATAAATATTATATAATACCTAAATTATTTTCAACCAACTTTACTTCATAATTTTTCTATACAATTTAAAATAATATTAGTGTTTTGTTAGTTATTTAATTAATTTTCTACTATTTGAATAAATAATTTAAATTATGATCTATGGTTATAAGAGTGGCCTTAAGTATATTTTTGATTATTATTAAAATTAAAATATTTGTTGAGTTCTTATTTTATTTAATAGTTGTATAACTAATAGATTTTAAATTTAATTTTTTTACCTTAATATTTCATTGTTTATAGGTATTTCTGAATTCTTAGTTTCTTTCAAATATTCAAGTAATAATTTAACTCTACTCTGAAGCATTTTGATAGCATTAAACTGAACAGTTAAGGTTTCAGCAACCAAACTATTTTCTTGAGCATCATTGCTGGACATTCTTGCAACATGATCAACACCGATACGTTCTGCATCTTCAGTAGATAATGTGTATGTCAATTCCACAAATAACATTTTTGTGTCTCCTTTAATTAAATCAATAACGGATTCATAGACTTTGACTGGCAAATCCGTATGTCCACCATGAGGATCCATTTTTAAAAATATTGGACAGTCAGCAATTTTAGTGATTTGTTGATGTACTTCAATATCTCGTAATGATGGCTTACTTGAACCAGTTCCTGTAATATACCAACCAAGAAAGTCCAAATCACAAAACACCTGATAAAATAAAAATAAAATGTATAAAATATAAATATTTTCTTGAGTATTTACTATAGCAGTATACTTGTTTAAATTGTTCTTCTTTAGAATTGTAGTAATCTCTATCGATAATTAATGATGAATCTTCGAGTATATTATATGATAATTCAAATGAATTCATTATTTCAATTGTTCGATCCTTTTGTTTACCGATTAGCGCTCCAAGAGTAGGAACTGAATTACCAACTTGGGCCGTTAAACGTGTCCAGTGTTCAGATATATTGAGAATAACTAGAGGATGTAGCGATATAGACACACTACCCGTAACATTTGTTGCTATGACATTGTCTTGAACTTCATCTACTTCCATGTCTACATTAGTATTTTCCATTATGAAAACTAATACTTAACGATTTAGATATAGTTACTAAAAAAATGAATCACAATGACACGATTAAAACTATGAAAAATCGAATTAATCGATCACAAGTTCAAAATAGGAAAAAAAAAGCTGGGAGTTGAACATCAATATTCACAAGCTATTATAAAAACACCATATTCAATAAATTATTGGTATCAATACATCATAATTATGTAACCATAAACCAGGTATAAAACATATAAGTATAAAATGTTACAAAAAATGATAAGACCGTGAACATATCCATAGATATAAAGATATTTCATTGGACCACATACAAATAATTCATATAAATAAATAAATAGTAATAAATAAAAGTTATAATAATTAGTTAACTATTAAATCATGTTAAAGCGTTTTGTGGTATTGTGATATTGTGATCTAGTTCCCTAAGTATACGCTAAAATGACATTATTTGTTAAAAAGTAAAATAACCCAACTGATCAATAACTTTTCAGCGGCAAATCATCCGGTCATGTCTTGTCCAGTCTTGATTACGTCTGCATCTTAAATCATGATATAAACTGGTTTTCTGTCAATGTCATGGATATATTTATTAACATATATAAGTATCTATACTCATGGTAAAGGCACAGAACATTGTTTTGTGGTAAAGGTTTATAGATAGTTATAATAAAGATAATAATTATTATCTATAAACCTGTGGTTTTGTTGATAATTGATAATGTTCATATATTGATAACATTAAATGTGCTGCTTAGTGCTTTTTATCATTCCATACAGTTGAATAATACTAAGATTGTATTACAGTTATGACTAATTATAATTTATAAATATTGAATTATATCAATTAATTTTGGTTTTAGAGTAAAATAGAAAAAAAATGTACATAAAAAAATACATAACAAAACAAATATTTAACCGAATTAGACCTCAAAGGAATAAGAGCACGAAAAATATAGATGAACAGTAATATTGCATATTTTGATTGAATTTTAATGTATTAAATAATAGATAGTAATAATAACAAATTAATAGAGTTGTAGATAATTCTATGTTTCAACATAGCAAATTGTTTATAAATTAAGGTTTTTAATAATAGTTAAAGTATAAATTTTATTTAATTAAATCTTATTTTGTGGTTTAACTTCCAATGTGTTATAAAATGGTTATGTAATCTGTTTAATTATGTTAAACATGTTGTATAAATGTACAAATATTTATAATTTTTAATTTTCGTTCTCATCACAGAGTAATTTTAACTTTTATTAAAAAAAATTATTTTTGACTAAAGTTATTATTTTTCTAGCAAATGGAAAAGTGTAGTTGGATTAGAAGTACATGCTCAGATTTCAAGTGAATCAAAATTATTTAGTTCAGCTGGTTGTAAGTTTGAAGCATCAGTTAATTCTCAAGTATCATTATTTGATGCAGCGATTCCTGGAACACTTCCTGTGTGTACTATATACTTGTATTATATTTTAATACAAATTTACTAAAAAATCTAAGAATAAAAAATGTATATTATGTTTCAGAGATTAAATGAAAAATGTGTTGAGGCTGCTATATTAACTGCTTTAGTACTGAAATGCAATTTAAATAAAATATCATTATTTGATCGGAAACACTACTTTTATGCAGATATGCCAGTAAAGTTATAATATTATTTTTATTTACCATTATCACCCTATGTCTAATCAAAATGTTTTCCTTCTCAATTATGTTAATATTGATATTTATTTTGATTTTATATTTTCATTGTTAAGGCTGGTTACCAAATAACTCAACAATTTAGACCAATTGCAGAAAATGGAGAGTTGATGTTTCATGTTATAGATCAAAATGTAAAAAAAGATCCTTACATTAAAACTTCTTTTATTAAACAAATACAACTAGAACAAGACAGTGGCCGTACAGTACATGATGAATCTTCTCAAACGTGATTTATTTTTATTTATTATTAATTATATTTTAGGGTATAATTTTTACAATTTTGAAAACCCATTTCTTAGTGTTAAAATATGTAAAATAATTTATTATTAATTTAATACAATAAAATATAAAAATGTAAAGTGAATATAATGAATGTGTATTCATGAATTATCTTTAAAATGATAGTAATTTCCCCAAACAAAATTTATTTTTGATATTAGTTGCATTTTAAATATTTTTTCTAACTATTTTACATATTCAATAAATAATACTTTTAGTTCATTCATAAAATATGTAAATTATATATAATGATGTATTCTGTTTATTAATTAGTAGATTTGTTGTTAATTTATGGCTAATATATTTATAGGTCTCTTATAGATTTAAATCGAGCTGGAATTGGATTAATGGAACTTGTGTTTGAACCTGATTTATGCAATGGTTTAGAAGCCTCCTCTTTAATCAAAGAATTATTATTAATATTTGAAAGTATTAAAACATGTTCTGGTCGAATGGAAGGTAATTTATTTTAATAGTTTAATAATAAGAGTAAATTAAAATTATTGAATTCCGACAAATATAATTATAAGGAACCATGAATATTTTTAAATTAAAACTATCAAAAAAGTTAATTTGTTTTATAGTTATTACTTAATATGTTTATTACTGTTGTGTTATTTATAAATAGAGGGTGCTTTAAGGGTTGATGCAAATGTTTCTATCACTAATAGAGATGAATTAGGCACACGAACTGAAATTAAAAATTTGGGAAGTGTAAAGGCAGTTCAATTGGCAGTTGACTATGAGATTTTTCGTCAAAAAAATATAATAAAAAATGGAAAAAAAATTGTCAATGAAACAAGAGGATGGGATTCGGTGTCTAACAAAACAATATCAATGAGAGATAAAGAAGTTCTACAAGTAATTTAATATAATAAAATACTAAACTATTTAATAAATATTTTAAACACTATTATTACACTATTATTTATAGGATTATCGGTTTATGCCAGAACCAAATTTATTACCACTTAATTTAAATGCATTTGATATTAATAAATTACAATTAATTATACCCGAACTACCATTTGTTATTCGTAAAAATATAATGAAAAAATATGACTTGAATATAAGGAAAACTTGTATTTTAATGGTATAAGTATTGACTGATATGATACAAAAAAAAAATTGGTTTTTACACAATTGAGATATTAAATTTACAGAATGAACCTGTTTTATTATCAATGTTTTTTGATATAATGAATCATGATAAATCTAGAAATCCATCAAGAGTTTGGAACATATTGACAATAGATTTGTTGACAGAGTTACATAAAAGATGTATTGAATCAAGTCAATGGTATAAGCTTTGTTGAAAGTCATATTTTTAATGAACATTTAATTAATAAAAATGTTATTTTTAGCAAAATTCCTTCAAATTTTATTGGTGAAGTTGTTGATTTACTAGATAATAATACATTGAACTTAGCTTATGCAAAGAAAGTAATTTCTGTATTATTTGATGAAACAAATAAATCTCCATCACAAGTATGTAATATATTTCTAATTTAATTAAGATATTAAATATAATTTCATTTCATTATCATTTAACATGCATTTTAGATTGTTACTGAAAATAATTGGGAACAAATTTACGAAGAAGAGAAAATAGATCATTTGTGTAAAGAAGTTATGATTGAGTGTCCAAAGGCTGTTAAAGATTATCGCAGAGGAAAAGTACAAGCATTAAAATTTTTGATAGGTCAACTAGCAAAAAAAACAAATAATAAAGTAAATATAGCTTATGCTTCAAACAAATTTGAAGAATTATTAAAAAATGAATGAAGTGTTTTTAATTTTATTGTTTTGTTAAATATGTTGTAACAATTTGTATAAAATAAAATATTTGTATAATCCTATTTCATTTGAATGCTTAAAGTATTCTATTACTAATTATGTATTTATGTAAGTAAACTAAAACTATACTAAACTAAAATGTAAATAAAAGTATTTACTTCATTATTATTACAAAACTTGAGGAAAGGACTAACTCAGAGATAGTTCTATAGAAGCCTGATCTAAGTTTATGTTATAGAACCTAGAATTTTATTGTTCAAAGACCTTAACACTATAGATGATACCTTTTCTATAATAGTTTTTATTATTTATATATTATATTTAAAAATATCATTGTTGCGTGCTGTCGCTCGATCGTAATTGATAGTTAAGTTTTTAAAGGATAGACTTCAATAAAATACTCAATTGTAATTTTAACTGTTTATTTAGCATAAAAAAAACATTAATATAAGAAATAATGTGGCGTGAAGGTGCTTGTGTCTTTACCTGTAAACCACATCTGAATATTGGTCTATTCCCAACCCCCTTATATACTTAGGTTTGGCGAAGATCAAACGTGCCGCGCTGGGCGATAGTTGTTTTCAACTATATTAATTAATTTGTCTCTAGCCCGCTATTTATTACCTAGATGACCTTATTCGCACTTATTTAGTTCTTATTCGCATTATATTTGTCACGACTTTTTCCAATTAAAATTCTACATATAACCATGCGATTCACATATAATATATGTACTGGTTTACCCTCTGACTTTTAATTAAAATTCATTTCTATTTTTACGAATGCGAATATTGTGTTAATAATAATCATTTTCTTGATATCTACCATTTACGATCTACATGGTCCCGTCCATGTCGTATGAGTCGTAAGGACCTACATTCATGTATGTCCGCAACATCATAATCTTGGAAAATTACATGAAAATTTCTATATTATATATTTGACTAATTCTTTTTTTTAGTATAATCTTGATAAATAAAAAGCTGTACTGCTAATAACTTATTTTTATTGATACTATATTTATATTAGAAGTGAATTTTAATTTTTTTTGAAACATGATTTTATTTAAATTGCTGAGATAGCTGATTGTGATTAACTGTATATAAAGTTATGAAAAATACATTTTTTCCTTCTATATACTTTGAAAAAATAAGGTATAAATACACAGTTTGTGAGTCTCTGGATACTGAAACACTATATTTATCAAATTTATCATTATGAAACCAAATGATTGTAATATTGGTAAATTGGTAAATTGAATATATGATAAATTTTAAAAAACTAGCAGATATTTATTAAATTACTAATGAAAAGTTTTAAAGTTAAATTTTTTATAGCAACGGCTAAAACTAGTGAGGCCATATAATATTATGATGATTAGGGCTCAGCTTTATATGTAAATACATATTTTTACTGTGAATTGAAAAATTAATTAAGGTAAATGATGAATTCGTTTCAAACGATTTGCAATAAAATTAACTATATTTTATTCTACATATTTTTACATATTTCTCAATAATTCCATTTTTTCCTACATATTTCGACAATTTTTTCACATACGACTTATTAATAATCCAATACAGACAATTTCCTATGTTTCCAAAAATATTTAAGTAAAATAATACCAATTATACCGTACGATCAGTGGCGTATTTATGCCGGAGCCACCGGGGCCTGGGACCCTCAAGGTATGTCCAAATTGGGGACCACAGGACCTTTATTACTACAACAATTTTTTTTTAATTACATTCATATAGAAAATAATTTTATCTAAAATATGATGCATTATATCATGCGTTTCAGATGTTGATACGAAGTTTGTAGAATCAAGGGACTAAGAAAAGAACAATACCGCTTTTATAACGGAACGTTAGGAACCTAGATTCACCTCTTCTTCTTTTTCTTCTTATTCGCAATCAACCATAGTACCTACTGGTACCCTTTGTGATAAAATATTGCCTATTTTTATTTTTATTTATGTATGTAAGATGTTTTCTCTTATCATTTTGATTAGTTTTTGAGATTGTTTGAACGGTTTTAATATATTCAAGAGATATTCTCTATATATACAATCGCATGCCTTTGGAAATCAACGAATAGCACATACAATTCCTTGTCGAACTCCTACATTTGCTGAAAAAATTGTTTCACAATAAATATCTGGTCTGTCTGGTCTGTAGTAGATATATTTTGTTTAAAACCTGCTTGATAATCACCTAATATGTCTTCTGTCCATGGTTTAATTCTGTTTAGTATAAATTTAGATAAAAAATTATAAGTCACGTTTAACAGAACGATGCCTCTGTAACTACCATATATCTCCTTATCGCATTATAATATAATAATAATTGTTCCAATTTATCATTGTATTTTTTTTAACACAGTCTGGAGACATGAACTGTTGTATAAATTTAGTAAGGTTATTAATTGTAGTAAGTTAGTGGCGCTATAGGAAGGAATCCTTGCAAATCAACGCTTTCAAGTTTACCTGGGTAATAAAGGGAGCAGGTGGAGGACAGTGAATAATGGACTCTTTCAAGGATCAGTTCTAGCTCTAACATTATTCAATCTATAAATGCACGATATCTCAACGATAGAAGACCAAAAGTTCTAATTTGCGGATGACATAACAATAGCGTTTCAAAGTAAAGATCTAAAAAATGGAGTGCAATCTTAACCAAAGACCTAGAGTTAATAAACACCTATTTCCGTAAGTGGCATCTAAAGCCAAACCTTAGGAAAACAGAGGTTTGTGCATTTCACCTCAATAACAAACAACCACATGATAAACTTGAGGTTTAATTTTACGGAATAAGTTTAAAGCATAATTTTCTCCCTAAATATTTGCGTACAACGCTAGACCGTTCGCTCACATATAATGAACACTAAAGTAGCCTCAGTATAAATATCCGGTCCCCGGTCAACTTGGTACAAATTTTTGCTGGAACAGGCTGGGGTACCGATGTTAAGATCTTACGGATAGCAAGCAGCGTAGAGCCTAGTTAACAATACAGCAGAGTATGGGTCCCAAGTTTGGTGTACCACCACACATGCAAAGAAAATAAACACGCAGTTTAATAGCGTAATGAGAGTAATAAGCGGGACAGTGAAATCTACTCCATTGCAATGGCTATCGACAATGCCAAGCAATTAACCATCACACTACATAGGAAAGATGCACTTATAAAAACCATTAAGAAGTCTGTAGATTACGAGCGCTAGCCTAACTTTAATATCAGATGACACTTCAAACAACTAATCAATGATTAAAATCCAGGAGCCCACCACTTGAATACACCAGAACACTGATAAGTTTAGGGTTTTATAGCGTTAAAGTATGGCGAAAAGAATGGACAAGCTTTACAGCACCAAACAGAAAACTACTAAGTGACCCTAATAATGGAGTTCTAGGAATGAATCTTCCTCGTTGCATCTGATCCACGTTAAATAGACTGCGAACACGACATGGTCGGTGTGGTTACTTCCTACACAAGTGGAAATTCCAAGATAACTCAATATGTGACTGCGGAAACGGGGAACAAACAATAAATCATATAATAGTAGATTGCTAAAGTAGAAAATTCAATCAAGGTTTTGAAGGCCTGCATGCAGTGACACCAGAAGCAATCACTTGAATTACGAACCTCGATATATGTTTATGAACCCTTATCGCAAGAAAGACTAACGTTTAATATTTGTGATTTTTGACTAATTAATATAGCTCTATTTAAAGTTATATCATTATATCCTTATATCTATATCATGTTATGTATTGGTTTAGTTAGAGTTTGATAGTTAAGTTGATTTGTGTTAAAAGCCATATGAAATAAATAATATACACCATAAAACTAATTATGCGATAAGGTTAATAAATATTGTGGGGTCATTATAGATAAAATATTATTTTATTTTTACCTGACATAAACATTATTATTAATAAATTTAAAAATATTATCACTATAATAATTTATAATTAAATTTATATAATCTAGATATTGATGCATTTTCTAAAGAGCCACAAATTATATGTTAAAGAGCCGCAGGTTCCCGACACCTGTTCTAGAATATCAAACCAATTATCAAACCATGCTGGGCTACTTGAATTAATACATATATTATTTATCCCATCAGATTTTTCAATTAACAGTTTATCAAATACTTACACGAAACAAAATAGACAACAAAAGTAATTACAAAAGTTTACAAAAGTAAACAGGTTATGTAAGATAGAAATACGTTAAATTATAAATCACATCTCAAAATCAAACACTTCCTTAGAATATTTCAAACATACAAATAAATACAAACATATAAGTAGATTCTACAAATAACTATGAAAGAGATGAATAAATCGAGAAGTACCTTTATAATATGTTATATCATATACATTGATAAATTTTATTGTTGTTCATATTGATTGACTTATTATTATTATTGACAATTATTTATTTAAAATAATAATAATAATAATAATATATTTAAAATTAAATTGAAGAAAAATAATTTCAAAATCAAATAGTCCATGGTCTGGATAATGTTTGGAGCACCGAGTGTTGCCATTTACTTATCTATCTCTACGGTAGAAATTACCAATAAAAAAGTGTAGGTCATCAGGATGGATAGATGCCAGATTTGTTTACATTATATGAAAAAATACAACAAAAATTATTTCATAGAAATACAAAGCTACTTAATTGTTATTAATAACCATGTCAATATGTATTGATTAAAAATAACAAAAAGGCTAATTATATTATATTTTACACAGTTTGGTTCAAACACTTTTAACTTCAATTTTTTCTAATGAAATGTGGTTTTTTATATGTAAATAATAAGTTATAAAAGAGTAGATATTAAGTTAATTGTTAATTTTTATTTAATACTGTTTATAAAATCCGCTTTTGGCGTTATTTTAATAAGTTAAATGATATATTTTCTTTCGCACGAGTACGTTTATTATTTTTGAAGTATTATATCGAACAGTTTAAATATAAAAAAATTCAAATAAATTTTAAAATTCCTCTCTTATTTCTGGATTCATAGGAAATAAATGTTATTCTGATAATAGACAATAGAAAAACATGCTGGGCTACTTGAATTAATACATATATTATTTAATGATAATACCATACATCCATAAAAGAACATTTTAATTAATTTTTTTCTGATAAAATTAAAATTATTAGAGTTCATCTTATATCATATTAGTTTGTAAGTTCGATTTTATATAACAATGAAAACATTTTTTACAATTTTTGAATCCGGAGGTAACATTGTTGGGACTTGCAATACCTAAATTATTTAGGGAGGAGGAATAATCCTTAAAAATTATAAAAATATTTTTTAATTATTTTCTGCTTATACCACTATACCAACGGCTATATAATGATCCAATTAGCTTTTTTTTTAAAGAAATATTTAAGGAAGTATTTTTTTTATAGATAATAAAAATTATTTTTAATTCAATAACGAATGATTATTTTGAAGCTTCACAATTTTTTATATGTCATACATGACATTTTGAAATTATTGTTCTTTATATTTTATTTATAATTAATAGTGAACATTATTTTATTATCTGTGAAGTATGAAAATTGAGACGACTAATTCTATACTAATATAAGTTTAGACGTTTGACAAAATTCGTCTTGTTCCCGGTTCTTAAAATACAATTTCAAGAACATTCGAAATTAAGATTCTTAAAATTCTTTTAGTCTCCAGTATTTAAAACACGGCAGTAGAGTGTTTTTTTTCCAACGAATTTTTAAAGTTAAATAAATTGATATACATCAAAGTTTATTTAAGCTCGTAATTTTCGTTTATAAGATCTTGGTAACAAAGAAACAAAATACAATATTAAATTAGTTTAAAATTAAAATTGAATTGTAGAGTATTATCTTTTATTAAAATAAATTTAAATGCCGTTGCATTAAATATTTCGAAAGTCTCAGTAATTACTGAAGTTTGTTGGTATCTTCATAATAGAGTTAAAAGCAAATATATGTTTTTGTAGTTCTGTATCAATAAACTGTTGATCTATATATACAAATTTTGTAGCTTACAAACATGTAAATATACATAATTGTGTATATATTTTACATAATTGTGGAATAACATTAAAATACAATTTTACATTTTTCCCGTAAAAATTCAAGTTTCAAGTTTAATACTTACTGCTCTTTATACTGAGAATCTGATTTTAAAGACCCGTAATCATTTTTTAGGAGTTCGCTACATCTAATAAACTTCATGACGTTGGTCGGTTAAGTTTAATTTTGCCGTTTTAAATGCCTACTTAGTGAAATAGTTGTCTACGCAGTACACGAGTATATTCGTAATGAATGTCTGTGGACGATGTCAACGGATTAAAAACGGAGCCATCTCAATTGGACAATATTTTACATAGGTGTACATTATAGTTGTGGCCAGACTATTTTTTAGCACGTCGTGCACAATACATACAAATGTGATACCGGGTTACCGAAAGGAGGGGGGGAATGATCTTCAAATCATGAAAAAAATTATCATCGCTTTAAAATACTAATATAATTACCGATTTTCTTAATTCCTACCGTAATTCTAAACGTCGTTTTGTTGGAATCATAATTTTGAACTAGTAAATAATATGATTTTGCAGGTCGTGCCTATACACGAGAGGCAAACCCGTCTACGGTGCATATGATCACGGTCTACAGCAGGGATCGGTAAGTAATTTACATTGGAGTCCCATGGGCGCAACTAGAACCCAAATATTGGGGGTGTTGAAATTGCTGAAAATAAAATAAAACGGTATTTAACTGTAATTACTATAAATCATATAGATCTAAAAAAGAAAACAGGAGGGCTACATTTGAAATCAGGGGTGCTAATAACCCTATTGGAGTCCTAAAGTTTAAAATAATAAATCAATGAGGTCCAGTGAAAAAATCTTTTTCAAATCTTTATGTTTTAAAAATGATAGTATAAAAATAAAAATAATTATTTGGTTATTACAATTAATTTATATTGAAAATCACAGTATTAGAAGTATGAAAATAAAAGTTGACAGGGTCTAGAGTATTGTCTTCCGCGGTCCGGATCCGGCCAGTTGTCGACCCCTGGTTTACAGATTGTAATGCGAATATAATCGTCGACTACGTGCGTACAAGTTTGATCGCGTACAGAACGCGAAGAACATAAATTTCGTTCGCAAAAATGTGATTTTTCTGTTGGAGGTCACAAAGTTGAGATGGCGTGGGCGAACGAGAAATAAAAAAATAAAAAAACCGAACGTAACACTTACTATTCACATAAATACCATTATTGTAACACGCGTACCACGTACGCGGTAATAACGATAAAGACCGGAATGAAAATAACAGACGACGGCCAAACCGACGGTACGATTAACTATCAAAGTGCGGATGTACGGGCGTGTGCGTACGTCGGTGCACGGGCAGAGCAGTCGTGCAATGATCGTTTTTCGGCCGAAGGAATTTTCCGTTCCCACCCGTTGGTCACTGGCCGTCCGCGCGATCGCCAGATATAATCGCAGCATCCGATCGACATTTAATATTATCGTTATCATTATTATTGTCGAGGACGGTGAACGGCACTTGTGCGTGCATCGCGGGGCGGATGCGTAAGGTGGCGTCGCGCGCGCGCGGGTCTACGCGCACAGCACTTTTGCGTCCATAGTAGCACCGTGTAGCAGTGGCGTTCTATTAATTGGAACGAGTGAAACGAGCGCCGCGGCTCTTGACCCATATTCGTTACTATAGCACGCACGGTGGCGGCCACGGCTCATCTCTAGGGCGCGCGCAGACTCCGGAGCGCGACCGTCCGACGGCCGTGGCGGCGGTGGCGGCGTAGGCGCACAACGACGACGACGCGAACGGACCGCATCCTATGTTCAGTGTGTGTGTTGCGCGCGTGTGTGTCCGTATACCGTTGCCGTCGTCGCCGCCGCCGCCGAAGCCGCCGAAGCCGCTCGTTTATATAAATAGAGGCGACGTCGTCTTCGTCGTCGTCGTCGTCGTGACTGCTGCTTGCCTGCTGCCTGGCTTTCTGGCGCGCGTGAATACCTTCCATAATACAACGACGACGGCGGCCCAGTTGTTATTATTAACGCGCGGCGTTTAACTCGAGTTATGTCACCACTACTACTAGTACTACTACTACTACAACTACTGTAGTACATCTAACTGCTACCTCTGCTACGGATATACCACTACCGCAACCGCTACGACCGTACACACAACCGTTACGGCGACGTAACAACACTGTTATCGCGGTCCCACAGATCGGCATCGTCGTGTAGTAAATATACCGTGTCCCCGCGGCGAATTCGCTCGGTACGCGTGCTCGTGACCGCGCGGGCAACAAGCCGTTGGCGGGACAACCGTAACCGGTGAAAGGAACGGACAGGGAAAAAGTCGACGGGAACACGGCGGCGGCTATCGACGAGTTGCCGCCAACTGTTGTGTTATTACATCGGTCTTCGTTCGCCGTGCTCGCCGCCGTTTCCGCGTACGCCTAGAGCCCCGGTCGGTGGTGCCCGCAGTGGAGTGCAGCAGCAGTGGTTCCGCGCGCGCGCGCGACTGCTGCTGCCGTGTGTCGCGTGTGCTCCGTCACCGATGGTTCGCGACGACGTAACGACACCGCCGCCGCCACCGCCTGTACAATTACTACCGGTGCCGCTGCTGCCCAACATCAGCACCAACCACCGTAGCCGCCACTGCGCGCGCTACCGCTTCCTAGGTCTGTACTGACACGGGCGACGACGTTGATCGGTTGTCATTCCGACCGCCGCGGCCGCACCGGTATAGGGTCCACGACGATACACGATCGGCAGCACCGAGACCGGCAACGTCTGCAGTGGCCATCGTCGGCGAGTAGAATGCATTGGTACCGTGCGACGGCCGCCTCGTTCGACGCGATCACCGCTGCAGTGGTGACCGCACATTAACGTCCGGACAGCGAGCGGCAGCAATAAAGGCATTAAATGTCATCGGTTCCGGCGCTGTGGGTTTGGAATTATGTCGCTGCTGGCGGTCGAGGGACAACGTAGTCCGGCGCTGTGTAAGTAAAACGGAACGGAACCGTGTATAAATAAATCAATGCCAAATATGTTTGCCAAAAAAATAAATAATCATAAATAAATAAAGGAGTCGAGGGGAAAACGAGAGTTTCACATTGTTCGGACGCCGGTCATAAAAGGGTCACTACATTCGTCATCGAGACCCGAGGAGACCGTTTTCTTGGAAACCACTTTTCTCGCGCACCCGAACGCACGCGCTTTTTCATTCCCGTTAGCACACTACTATACCAACACATTCTTCGACGGTCCGTCGTGTGTGTACCTTATCCGACCGACTGTCTAAATTTAGTCGCTTTTGGCTTGGTACTGCTAAATAATTATAATAGGCTAATATACTCATCCGTTATAACTGTCCAATATACCCGAATGATATTATTTGAACTAGGTTTGCTGACACAATGTGTCATTTATTGGCGTCGTGATCCGGTCCCGACCGGTCCGCGAAGAAAACGCATTGTCTCAATACATTTTTTCTAGACGAAAAAAAATTTCCCCGATTTCATTTTTAGACGCGCGCATTTTTAGTCGAGTTCAAGGTTGCGTTGCACTATAAAACTCTGGGGTCAATCTGAAGATCGTTTTAGAAGGAAGGCGCGAATAGGAATATTATTTCTATTATTTTGTTATATATTATTAGACATCTCTAACAATATTTTTCTTTTGAATATCGATATCGTTAGATTTTTCGCGATATTAAAAAACATTTACGATATATTCCGTATATAATATACGTATATTCCGATTCATTAACATCCCTACATCACTCACGGCATCAACTAATTACGCAAGTTTATAACTAGCCATAATTAATATACAAATAATAAAAAAAAACAATAACAATGCTAAACGAAATGAATATATAAATTAAATAAGCATTTGAATTAATTAAATTAACGAAATTATACCGTATCAAAATATCGATATCGTTGAAGAAACCTACTGAGGGGGATTGGTGGATCGATCCCCCAGCCTTTATTATATTACAACATAATCTTCATAATATATCTATATTTCATATTATTTTAAGTCCCTTATTATAAGTCCGAAAAATAAATTTTATTTTGTAATATTACATGAAATAAATGTTTAAATTTGAATTTTAAATTCAAAAAAAATATTTTTCTTTATGACTAATATTTTTAAGCATTATATTTGATGTGAAAGTATTTCGACCCTTCCCCTTGGAATTTGTCAAGGACTGCTACTGTAAGCCTATATATTATATTATTATTTATTATCATGAAAAATGCTATCAATACAAACATATACATAGTATATGATAGTAAATATTTACAATTATTTATTATGTTTATCTATATGAAAATATACCTAAATCTAAAATATTAAATAAATCTGTAATAGGAAAAAAGTGATCAGAGTTTTAAAAATCTTGCATCATTTAACGAAATATTCGTATTATTATTGTACACGATTAAAAATTATTTTTTATTAACCTCCTACCATTCAAAAAACTGTACTGTTCAGGCCAAGAGCCTTTACTTTTGAAGGGCTCCAAATTTACTAAAATACATTTTATTTGAAAAATATCATACTTTTACATTTATTTCTTTTCTTTTAAAAAAAAAAAAATCAAGTTTATTCATTGCTAATACCAAATGGTAATAAGAAGTATATTATATCAGGTACGGTAGTAATAAATGATGTGTTAAAAAATATATGTATCACAATTAATATATTTAATGGTATTCGATATATATTAGGCTTTGGGCTTCACATGCCCTAAAAACGGTTCTGGTAAAATTACCCAATGAAATTACTTAAAGACATGTGTTTGTTCTAAATGTTGGTCTTTGGAATAATGTTTGAGCTGTGAATTATTAAATACACAAGGGCTATAGATCTACCGTACGTGGATGTTTTACCATGGTTACTTACTATAGTGGATTTTCAGTTTATTTTTTATTACGACCTAAGAACGTATTCGGTATGCCCAGAGTGCATAATGATTCACCATGTCTTATAAACATATCAATTGGATTCATAATTGCATATTGTTATAGAAAGTTCAGGGTTTGGCATAAATTATTTGTTCAAAAATTATCAAAAATTGAAAAAATATTATTGTTTATACCACACATGAAGTTATAACTACTGTACTAGATTAATTTAATAGTTAAATAATAATGTAATTAAATAAGTGTATTATTAAATAGTTTATTAAGAATATCACCCGTAGATGATTCTGAATTCAGTATTTTATTTCAGTACTTATTTTAAATATTTTTATAGTAGTTTTTATTTTTTTAAATATTTCTATCTATTATAATAATAAATTTCCTGTTATAATTGGTATTGTATTTCAATTTGTAATGTTATTGTATTCCGTTCGATATTTACAGTCGAAAAATTACCAGTTAATCACTTTTATTGTGCTCACTGGTTCTTAGCCAATTTTTGACACGGTGCATTGCAGAAAACGACCATTTTAATGTAGCTGAACACAGCGGCGTTGCCAGAGGGTTAAAGGGTTAGCTTCTTACCTTCAAAATGTTTTCTTATTTTATAAGATATACAATAATTTTAATACAGATATAATGTTATATCGTGTCATCGTCAAACAATTTTCACAGTTTCAACAAACTAAATGATAAAAAAATTTATATTTTAATTTATGTTTAATGAAATTATTAAAATTAAAATGTTGGTACTTTATTAGGAGAAATAATTGAAAATTTACAAACCCCCTCCCCCCCCGTCAAATTTTTCTGGCTACGCCACAGGCTGAACATAAAGAATTTATTGTTATTGCAGTTTGTAATTTATAAAAATTAATAGGTACATATGCTTTTAAACTATTTATTTGTTTCATGTCATTGTGACTAAAACCATTATTAATGAATAAAAAACAATTTTTTAGCAAACATAAATTCCGAATCTAAATTATATCTATAAAATATATAGTATATTATACTATAACTCATATACCAACAATGTACTTATATATCTTTTAAAATCCAAAAATACCCTGTGTAACGAGTTAATAAAAAATTTAGATTTTAAATAAAACTTAGAATGTTTTATTTTATTAATATATTTTTTTTTCGTTAAAACTTTAGTATTAATATCGCATATCTATGCGTTCGGTGCCTTTGTATTTAATACTAAGTTGAAAGCTCACAATTTTTAAGTATTCGTTTAAAGTATTTTAAAATTTAAATTAGATAACTTACAAATTGAATGCATCGTTATATATTAATAACAATTCTAAATATAATGACAAAACCAATTAAATTAATTATAATTTATTTAAACGGGATTTTATTTACTAAAACATTTCATTAAGATACATGATACACAGAAACATTTATATATGTATCTGAAATATACATAGATAATTACATATTATTATTTTTAGAATTTCTCTATAGTTTTAAAAAGGTATTATCCTAGTAAATAATTAAGTAATTTTCACCTAATCAATTTTGTTATTTTATAAAAATCCTAAATATTAGTTTATAAACTATTAATTATATGAGAATTGTGATATAATTTCAAAATAATATTTAAGAAATTTCAATAACATTGGTTTACATTTTTATACAAATTGTACAATGATATTATTTTTTATTTTTTTAATGTGTTAACACTTGGATAGTTATAATTGTAATTGTTTACATTGAACTCCTTAAAATTCTCGATCTTATTCTTAAGACTTGAAAATAAAACACAAACTCATTCATGTGCGATAGTGACGCGGAGAACTATTTTCTGAGCAAGTGCCAACGATTGAAAATCTACCAACCACCCACATAAAAATGTTATATATTTATTTTGTAAGCTTAGAACAAGCTCATACTATTTATTTAAATAATATTCATTATTCTGTATTCATTAAAAAGGTTAAAAATTGGTTGACTTACTTATTTACAAAAGTATTATAAAATACTATTAAAACTATGGAATTGATTACCACTTCATACAAATATTCTTGAGGTCACAGTCTCTAATAGGCTGGAAAAATCTACAAGCATGTCACTGTCATTTATTCGAAATAAAATTTAAAATTCATAATTTACGTTTCTTCAATGTTTGATTTTTTAATAATTTATTAGTATAAAATAAAAAAAATCATTTGTTTTGTTTTTAATTTTTATAATTTAAATACAAATGTAAATATTTAATTTATTATCGATGTGAAACCAATGAATTATAAATTATTTTATGTTAAAATATAATAGATTAAATAATTTATCGTATAATATAGTAAAAATAAGAAATAGTAATAAAATAAAATATTATACACATTTAGTTACACATAATAACATAATACACAACAAATATTCTTAATAAAAGTTACTTTTCATACATCCTTGGATTTTTTTCTTGTTCTATTATTAAAAGCAGTTTTAACATTGAAACGATGAAGGGATTGAACATTATTTGTACCTTGTAATTCTGAAAAACTGAATTTTACAAAATAGCATTTTTATTTTATCATTTTTACTGACTAAGTGGTCAATTAAAACAATGTAATTCGAGATATTTTATTTAATAGTATTTCTACCAATATGTTTGTTGTGTTTATTTTTTAAACTCGTTTGGCAATTACTAAAATATAGTTGATTTTATGTATTTAAAAATATAATTGCTATTTTAATCTGATGATAATGAAATGATATTTTTTATTTTATTTAATAGTTGTACCTTATTATGATAATATATTATTAGTTATTATATTAATAATGATATATTTAGGTAATGAATAATTTATTTAATGATAATCATCAATTTATTGAAAATAAGTAACACAGTAAATGAAAAAGAATATAAAATTTGTAAAGGTACGAATTTGATTAGGTCTTAAGTTTCTTCTTAAAAATAAACCTAACATATATATATACTTTATAGGTAACTGGTGATTATTAATCAGTCAATTTTTATGTTTTAGCTAAAAATAGCTTTAGTCAAAAATACGTTTTATTCTTGTTTTTTATGTTTAATCTATACTATTAAAATGTTA